TGGGCTCACTTCACCCCACAGCTGCTACTTGTTCCCACCTCCCTGCATTCTCTTCTAGTTTTCACCACCCTAGATCAGAAAACCCTGCTCCTGTGCATCCGGATCAGATTGTCCACTAGTGATCTTCCCTCATAAGCCTTCCAAGACCCAGTCAACCTGCAGATTCTCTTGCCTCTGGATTGCTATCATGTAATCACGGTGAGGAACGAGGCCATGAGACTGCGGTGAGTTGTTTAACCCCCTAAGCTTTGAGGGACGAGATATAGTTCATTCATCTCTCCAAGTCCCCCACAGGGACCAGGGTGCACAGCAGCTCAGTCAACAGGAAATTCAGTTGGCCATCTACCACTTCAATTATCCCATGGCAATGGGTACCTTGTTGAGCACACATTGGGTATACGAATGAGTCTTGCTCACCTTTAATCTTAACATACCCTACAGACAACAGCTGCTCAATTAGTATTTGATTGAACAAAGGCACAGGGATAAAGACTGTGGAGTCAGACAGTTGTGCCGTACTCCCAGCCCCACTACTCGCAGAAGTTCTTAACTGCTCTAAACTCTATGTGGGTCCGGTGAGATCTGTCTTAGGATTATTGTGCAGACTAAAGGAGATAATTGTTTATACAGAATTTAGAACGGTACTTGCCTTGGCTCCAAGAGTATGACCTATTAAGATGCTGTCTTTAAGAAGAACCCAAAATAACTTGTCAGGGAACAAAGGAAGAGCAGAGCATTGCTAAAACGGCTTGGGCACATGCAGCTAACTATAAATGCAACTTGGGTGCAGTGGTAAGGCAAGAGGCCAAGAAGCACCCCAGTATTCATGGAGACTGTAAAACCACCCCCTTCAGAATCACCTCTAGCTTCTTTTTGCCACTCTTCAAAGATCCCTGCTTCCCCTCATGAATCCACAGCCTCCCGCCAGTGCCAAATTAAGGAAAGGAAGGTGCTCTCCCTACCTGTCGACTCAGCTTAGTAAAGTCAACTTTGCATTTTTACAAAGGCTCTTTCAAAAACTGTTGACAGTGGAGCATGGTCTGGTTACTGTCAGGGCCGACAACGCTGGATCTCTTAAGAATCCTCAAGTTCAACAGCACAGACTATACACAATTTAAAACGAGTTCCTACGAGTCCTTCCTATCACACATCACTTACCACTAGTTTCCAAACTGTTCTCACAGATACTCCATCATTTGAGCCTCAAAATAGCCTCTTCAGTCCTGTCAGCAAGAGCAGGCACCCTTGGGTACCCCAATTTAAAGAAGTTAACCCATGGGCACCTGGGTGGCTCAGTCAGTTGGGTGTCCTACTCTTGGTTTCGGCTCAGGTCATGATCTCAGTCATTCATGAGACTGAGCCCTGCATTGGGCTCTCTGCTCAGCAGGGAGCCTGCTTGAGATTCTCTCCTCCCTTTGTCCCTCCCCTGAAATCCCCCCACCTTGAGCATGCGCTCACACTCTAAAATAAATCTTTAAAAAGCTAACCAAGAACACCTGGGTGGCTCAGTCGGTTGAGCGTCTGCCTTTGGCTCAGGTCATGATCCTGGGATCCTGGGATGGAGCCGTGCATCCAGTTCCTTGCTCAGCGGGGAGTCTGCTTGTCCTTCTCCCTGCCATTCCCCCTGCTTCTCTTACTGTCAAATAATTAAAAAAAAAAAAAAAAAAAAAAAAAAAAGCTACTCTAATCAGCTGACCAAGTGACTTGCCCAGACACCCAGCTGGACCAAACGGAAGAATCCTGCAGAAGGGACACAAAACCAGAGTGCAGGTAGAGGTTGCAAGCTAGCTGTAGCCGAGGCCGTGGTGGAGGCCATGGTAGATTGCACAACACCTATCTTTAAAGCAGGTACCCAAGCATCTAACCTTGCCAACTACCATCATGCAGGAAGGTGAGGTGCTGTCGCTGCCTGATATTTCAATAGGCTGGAAATCTGGATCTTTATGTATAATTTGTCCAGTTTCAAAAATGTTGTGCCTGTGCAAGAGCTTACAGACAAGACTACCGGTTAGTTGACTTGGCTCCAATAGCCCAGCCTAGGCAGCTCCCCTGGAAAACCAAGCTCAGCCAGAGTTAATCATGACTCCCTTCCCCCAGAGAGGCTACACTAGCTGAATGACTGCCAACTCTGCCCTCCCTGAGCACATCCCAACAGAAAAGCTTCTTCATCTTGTGACTGCTATCAACCTTTACCTCCACTCTGGCTCGCCACAGCTGTGCCCTCCATCTTCACATCAGTCCCCAGTACCCCACTCCCAAAGCCACCTCCTACCCTTAATTTTGCTTCTGTTAGCTCTGCTCCTGAACTTTCCAAACCCTCCCCCAGCTCCAATTCACCTGGTGCCCTATCCCGAGCCAGCCCAGGTGTCACCTCTCCCTTCTCTTCAGCTCCTTGCCCCTGCACGCTGCTCACCAGTCCTATGCTGCCTCACCCTCGCAGCCACAGGAACCCCATTTCCTTCTGCAACGTTTGCCACCAGGTACGAATGGCCTCTGCACTGCCTAGTTGAAAAATCCCCCACTTAACATTACCGGTTAGCCATTTTGGTGAAAACTGACACTAGCAGTCCTGAATCCCCCACTCCTCCACACTCTCCTGCTAGTACAGCCAGGCTTATGTCCTGGCCCTAGCAAGGGAAACCACAGGGCCATGGGTTCCACAAACCCAATAGCACAGCCTGAGCTTAGCTCCAAGTGAAGCAACTACACCCACCATCAGCAGATCTCAGCCAGCAGGTCCAGCCCTCACATCCCTGCTCTCTGGTCTGCACGTCCTTCTTCAGTCAAGGCCTCTCACCATGTTCTCCAAAACATGCAACCATTCCTTCCACCACCCTCTCATGCCTTCTGCTATCATGATTCTTGCTTCTTCCTGAATCCCGTCTACCCAACCAAGCAGGTCTTTCACTCCTTGACAACTTCCTCAGGTTTCTCTGGTGATTTTAATCCACTTACATGGTTCCTAATCATATTTATAAGCTTGACTCCCATATGGACCCATGTATCCTACACCAACTTTGGGGGAAAATGGAATCCAAAACCCTTAAGCCATTAATGCCTCTTTACCCCATTCCCAAATATGCAAGCTCTCCAACTCCTACACTTTCTAACCCTCTCAAAAAGGCACCCCAACCCTCAAAGTAACCCTAAAACAACTTCTCCTCAAATCTCTCAAAACCAGGGCGCATGGGTGGCTCAGTTGGTTAAGCATCTGCCTTTGGCTCAGGTCATGATCCCAGGGTCCTGGGATCGAGTCCCCGCATCAGGCTCCCTGCTCAGCGGGAAGCCTGCTTCTCCCTCTCCCTCTGCTACTCCCCCTGCTGTTCTCTCTCTCAAATAAACAAACAAGGGGCGCCTGAGTGGCTCAGTCGGTTAAGCGTCTGCCTTTAGCTCAGGTCATGATCCCGGGGCCCTGGGATCGAGCCCCACATCAGGCTTTCTGCTCAGCAGAGAGCCTGCTTCTCCCTCTGCCTGCCACTCTGCCTATCTGTGCTATCTCTCTGTCAAATAAATAAATAAAATCTTTTAAAAAATAAATAATAAATAAACAAACAAACAAAATCTTAAAAAAAAAAATCTCTCAAAGCCACACAATTGATCAATAACCCACAGCTCAGGTCCACAACCCTGATGCCTGAAAAAACCAAACTCAGAACTGGCATCCAGCATAGAAAAAGTGACACTACATAACCCTCCATGTTTCACCAAAAGCATATAGATCTACCAAGCAATTACACACTACATCCAAATATTCATTATACTAACCTCTTCCAAATTCCCCACTCATAATACACCATTCACTTATCCCATAAGCACAAACCTACAATGCACAGGTGATTTTGGCAGATCCTATTTACTTTGTGATAAATGAGTATGTACTCTAGTAATATTCTACTGAGGCAAGTAATTTTTCAGTAATAAGAACGATGTCAGGTTCTAGGAAGACCAAAAGGAATTCAGATTTCAAGTGTGTCTTTCAGATACTGACCAACTAGACTGATGGCAGGTATTAACAATGAGCACACCAGACTGGCACTGTATGCTCTCGTGTTGCTGGTACCCCACACCCACATCTGTGTGCTACTAAAAGGAACGACAATCATACCAAGTTTTCACTAAAAGCGTACTGGAACATGTGAACTTGGGCAGCAATCTAAATCTGCTCTACAGCAGAGTAATTTCATAACGCTCCCAGTAAACTTCAAATACATTTCAAACAACCAGACACGTTAACATTCTTAGTTTATTGATCCTCTCATGAAAAATCTGCACAACCAGATAAAGCCAATGTAGCATCTTTACTCCTTCTGTGAAACAAAGAAAAGGAAAAATTTAGTTAGTGAACCACCTTTAAAACTCTTAAGAATTAAAATTTAAAATCTTCAGCAAACTCCAAAATTAATGACACTCATGCAAAACAAGTATTAGTGACCTAAAATGTTAAGTTTGTGATCATAACACAATGAGAGCATCAAGAAATAAAACTTGCAAACACTCACATTAGAAATGGAATAAAGAATTAAGTATTACGGTTTTAAAAACAAAACCACGTCACTACCGGTATCTAAAAAGCTACGATTCTTCAAAGCATTTGTAAATCAACTTCTAAAACTACTTCACATGCAAAAACAAACACAAAAAACAAAACTATTTCACATGCTCTAGACTTTCGAATTACTGTTATCAGTAAAGCCTAATGATCCACATGAAAAGCTTGAATTATACCTGTTGTCCAATCTCCAGCTCACTGAATCAGTGGCAGGGAAGGGAGAAAGGAGGGAAGAAGGAAAAGAAATATTTCATTAATAGTCCCTTTTCAAATTCCAACATAATCTGCATTTACATGCATGCAATCAAATACGTTAGAAATAACTGTTTTCTTTTTAATTGTATACAGAGCGCTATTGAGACACACTCATTTTTATTCTTCCCAATTTGGAGAATACCTCATGTGATTAGTATGGTTCTTATGTAAACAAAGTGGCATGATGGTTTCACAATGAGGAGATCATCATGCCAACAGCAGTGCCAATCCAGGCTACCACTGCCTACGCATACATGAAGTACACATACCTGACCCTCAGCCCTCCTCCTCTGCTCAGCAACATCATGATGGGCACACAAGCACCATCAAAAGACCCGGGAATCATCCCACACTAGAGTCTAACCTCAAAGAGAGAGTTCTAAATGATCAAGCAAGTCTTTTAAAACCTGTCTCAGCTCAATACTTTAAAAGCTACTGTTCACAGCCACCAAAAGTAGTGCAAATTAGTTTTTTAAAAGGCAGAACTGGGCTGAAATGAAAATGCTTCGTGCTCTTTAAACAAGAGACTATTTATTCCTTAATTTAAAACAACTCTATTGTACCCAAGAGGTAAGAGCAAATACCAATTCCAACCACCAAACAAGAACAGTTAAAAGTAACATTAGTAAGCCTGGCTATTTTGAGCCAAAGAATACTTGTGCTCATTTACGCATTCATTTCCCAGCCAGTTTTCCAGAGCTATGCTAGTGAAATGCACCAGTGCAACCTGAAGCAGGAATAGTGATGGCTCAGGTCCCCACAGGGAGCCCCTCCACACGTCACCGGCGAACACTAACGAGCACAAACATATGGGGCCCAAAGACCGAATGAAGACAAGAATGGGTTAAACATCCTTGGTTCTAGATCAGTCCACTGACTGAATCTTTTTTGCAACCTCGGCAACTTCTGTTGATAGGTATAAGCCGCCTCACAAACAAGGAGCAGTTCTAAGCAGCAAGTAGTTCCTCTGGCAGTTCATCCATTACTAGAACTCTGTGGCTGGAAAGACAATGTGATTGGAGGCCTGGGCAGGCATACCCAGATCTACTGCCTGGCAGGGAGTCACTGTTAGAGGAAGCACACAGGGGCAGTGACTACCAGTGTTTCAAAACCCTACGAACCCCCAACCCCTCTACTAAGCCCACCTTACATGCTGGTTTAGGCTGCTCAAATGTGCAAAAATGTATTTAACATGGGGTAGTAGACCATTCTGACCAAAAACTTATGAAAAAAGCATATTTATCAGAGGCTTTGGTGTGAATATACAATTACCTTGGAATTTTTTCAATGGAAAGAAAAATGGACATCAGATGAAAAATTAGAGATCAATAAAAAGCAATGTAACGGTAAAAGGCAGCTTTGATCGAACACTTCCTGAACAGAGACTCTGCCAGATTTCCTAGACCAGTTTATTACCAGAGCTGCCAAAGAAATCGACCAGTCCCTGGGGTCCCCAAGGGAAAGACTGCTGATGACAAAATGAGGCCCCTTCCCAAGCCCTGTGTTAACTAAAGCCGTTTCCTGGGTATGTAACTCTGGGACACAGCATTTCCCAAGTACAAGTTAAAAGATGCCTACTCAGTAGAGTACCCACCTTCCTCCACCAGGTCACTTCGCAACATAACATGCATTTTTGAATTTCCAAAATAAACGTGATTAAAAGTTTCTCTCCCTTCCTTATAATACGCCATTTTAAAACAAATATAAGAGATCATACTACATAAAACTCTTGTTGTCCAAAAGCCAACATGCAAAGCATCAAAGCAAACTCAGTGAAGGTGATGCATCCCCACACCGTGCTCACAATCTCAGTACCTGCTAGACACTTCATTTCTGATGAACAAGAAATCCAAGAAAGTAGAGGGAAAAGGCAAAAAAAAAAAAAAAAGTTCACAGAACACTTGATTATTTGTTAATTTAACAACCCAACACCTTAATTCCATTCAACTATTATTTACAGTTAGCTAGCAAAGCTGGTAAAAAGCTGCTTATCATTAAAATCACTTAAGTCTTGGCTAACTGGAGAGGAAAGCAAGTGAGATCCCACCTGCCTCTCCAGCATGCCAGGGAAACACGGGCCACATTGATTCAACTGCTTCTTAAACAAGTTATCTGTTTTAAACAAGTAAGTTTACTCTTCCCCTTTAACAGTCCAAACCAATTCGCAGTAAAATGGACACTTTTCCTGACAGGGCTTCCAAGGTGCCCACTAGGATCACTGAACCGATGTGGCCCCTGTGTTGTGCTGATCTGTGAGCTGACAAAGGGTGGGCAAAGCTACTCTAGTGAGGTGTTAAGATACTACATCATGTAGCGTCTCAAAACACGTTACCTTCTGTAATCCAGAAGAAGTGGGAAAAGAAAAAACATTAAAAAAAGGTTATTAAAAAACAAATCCCTCCTTTCTAGAAACTAAAGACCTGCAATGACATTTCTGTATTCTCCTTGATGAACAATACCTTTTTGCCAGCACCAACATTGGCTTTTGCAGTCCCCCTGACTTTCTTCATTCTGTTCTTGCGTTCCTTTCGCTGTTTTCTTGATGTCTTTTTCTTCTCATACAGGCCATGCTAAAGGAAAAAGGAGTACCTTTTAAGTGACTTGCAAACATCAACTCAGCATTAACTCATCTGGGAGGGACCATAACCAAGTCAGGTAGCTCAAGAAATGCAGCTTCCCAAATCACAATTGTTTCAAGTACATTTAACAATACTTGTTTTTACTAAAACAAGACAGGTAATCCAATTGAGACACAATATGTACAAATCAGTGGCACAGTACTCAGATGTGCTCTCAACACTCCAACCTACTCATCTTCACTCTGCCCATTTTTGCACTTGCCGTTCCTGCTGCCCAGACTGCTCCCAAATCTTCACAGATCTCAGCTTAAAGGTCACCTCCTCAGCAAGGCCTCTCAGACCACCCAACTAAAGAGCGCAGCATCTGTCTACCACACCACCATGATTTCCCTCACAGGTGTTCTACTGGAAGACTTATCTGATGGCAGTGAAGAAGAGTTAGAGAAAAACACAAGTAGTACTTCAAAATAACAACCTGCAGCTTATGATCTAGAATCTAAGGGAGCTTGCTCAGCTCGTTGCTGTAGTTCACTCTAGTGCTTGTCACTCAGGAAATGATCAAACTCAGACTTTTAGAATTAAGGATCTCAACTGGGTGCCAACGCTTCCAAACCCATCCCCTTATTTCCAGCTCCTATCTCCACAAGTACTACATTACTTGTCCTTCTAGACCCAGCTCAAAGGTCACCTCCTCAAAAGCTGCAGACCCCATTACTGAAGCCCTGTAATCTATCTGTACATTTATCAAAAAACCTCTCTTAACCACTTTAGTTCCTTAAGTCTGAGGGCTGTCCCTCCCCAATCTGCTTGCTCTTGCTCATTCCACTGCATCCACAACACAATGCTGTTAAAAAACAGTCTTCAGCAGCTGTTGAACAATGAGAACACCTACTCTTGCAAGTCTGTGTTTGGGTTCATTTTTCTTTGCATAATCCAAGGAATCATATATCATGCCAAAGCCGGTTGTCTTGCCACCACCAAAATGGGTTCTGAATCCAAACACAAATATGACGTCTGGTGTGGTCTTGTACATTTTGGCTAGTTTTTCCCGAATTTCTGTCTTAGGTACTGTTGCCTTTCCGGGGTGAAGAACATCAATGACCTAAAAAGAAGTAACAGATTTTAGTGCTTATTATTACAAAATGAGTCTTTTGAAGCGACAAACAATGATGTGCCCTTCCTTACCATCTGTTTCCGCTGAAGCAGTCGGTTAGTCATGAACTTCCTGGTCCGGATAGTTACTGTGTCGTTCTAAAAACACACATAATGCACTAGTTAATGATCCACTCAACCTCTTCTTGAGCCTGCTGAGATTTTTCCGAGATACAGCACTGCCAATGGGTACCCACGAGCCATAAGTGGACAACTCATAAACATGAAGTCACATTTAAGATGCAGTTCTGCAGCTGCAGGCGCCACATTTCAAATGCTGAAGAACCACATGAGCTAGTTGCGGGAACGCTTCCATGAAAAGAAAAACCCACACACTCCCAGTGCCTAACTCCTAAGGCACGTCCAACACGCTCAGTACTAAGAGAACGCACCCCAAAGCTTTCTGGAATCTTCACTTTGCTGTGGGCATCACTTTGGAGCAGGGTTTCTCAATCTCAACGCTACTACTCTGGTCCCACTACTTCTCTGTGGGGACTAACCACTAGAGACCAGTAGCACCCCCAACTCCAGTTTTGATCAAAAATGCCTCCAGATTTTGCACTGTCCCCTTAGGGGCAATTAAAAAAAAAAAAAAAAAAACACCTTCACGTAAGAACCCTTTCTGTGCAGTAAAACTACTTCGACCTGCACAAACCTTTAGTCTCAACTACGTTTGTAACACCCTCACAAGTTTGACACAAACGCTGCCACCATCTGCAGGTAAACTACCAGTCTTGCACGGCCAATTTTACACCCCACAAGAAAACCTACTCCCTTCTAAATGGCCCAACAGCTTTTACACAAGTAACCACCTAGGAACGTGGCCATTCAGCATGCTTACACTTCGGTAAAAAAGAAATTTTACCCAAAAAGGACACAAAGCAGAGAGGCCTTCGTGGCAACGACTGGGTGCTAGATTTCAAAACCAACCAAAGTAAGTTGACTTGAACAGTCCTCAACTCTCGAAAAGACTGGAGGGAAGAGGGGACTTGCAGATAAGGTCCAATTAGAAATAGGCGCTGAACCTTCACTGACAGAGCGCACCCCTCACGTACTTAAGGCCAGCTTTCTGGAGGCCTCCCTTCCCAGGGCCTCGGTTTCCGCACAGTACAAGAGGTTCCGTGCGGCTCACGATGTTTTAGCTTACACATGCGAACAGCTTCACTCGCCACGACTCGCTCGCCCGGGCGCCGCCGGCACCCACTTCACCTCTTGGGTTGCCATCACCTCCAAGCCGCCTATCCCAAACTGAGAACGCAGGTGAGATGGGCCTCACCCCACCCCGCCCAATCCACCAGGCTCCACGAAGCCGACAAACGCAGCAGGCGCCCTCGCAGTCCCCAGGCCCTGGACTCTGAAGTCCGACGTGCCCGGGTCCGCGGCACAGCCCGGACTCCCCACCGACGGCTCCGGGACTCTCGGCAACCAGCCTCCGTCAGACACAGCCAAAAAAAGAGCGACGGGACTTCGGGCCGCCGCAGCACAAACGGCAGGACCCGGGGACGAAGGATGGCTCAGATACGCGCCGGATAACTGCATGGGTCTGGGGAAACTCACCATGATGGCGGCCTAGCTTCAAGCAGCCGGGGAGGAAAAGAGAACCACTCTCCGCCGGCCAATCATATCAATGCGCACGGAAGGCCCCCGAGCGCCGCCGGCGAGGGGGCGTGGCCAGGCCCGCGAGGGCGGCCGCACCAATGCCGGATTGAAAGTGCCTAAGGCCCGCCCCCAGGGAGCTCCCGCGGACTAGATTTACGCGAGCACATGTTCAATTTCGGTTCAGTTCGTTGTCCTGAATATCCCGTGCCTAGAATTATGGTAAACCGAATTACAGTTTAGGAGATCCTGTCCACCAGCCTCCTCATTTTATATCGAGGGAAACTGCAGAAACCCGACTCAAAACCTTTGTTATTTCAACTACACAAAACTGACCGTTTTAGGTTATTGCTAAGTATTGCTTTTTTTTTTTTTTTTGAGTCTTTGGTAATTTTCTGTATGAAAAATAAAAAATTCTTCCTTTGTGTTTTTCTGAAAATCTTAGTCCTTACCCTCACAAATGAGCTTTTATCAGTGTTTGATCCATAAATTTGTTAGTTGCTTAAAGTGACGGGGTCGGGCGCCTGGGTGGCTCAGTCCCTTGAGCGACTGCCTTCAGCTTAGGTCATGATCCCAGGGTCCTGGGATCGAGCCCTGCATCGGGCTTCCTGCTCAGCGGGGAGCCTGCTTCTCCCTCTCCCACTCCCCCTGCTTGTGTTCCCTCTCTCGCTGTGTCTCTCTCTGTCAAATAAATAAAATCTTTAAAAATAAATAAATAAAAAATAAAGTGACGGGGTCATGCAAAAATAAAGAACATACGTGCATGTTCAAAAAAGAGACATTAGGACCTCTAAAGGTCAGTGTGGCAAAGGAGACAAAGGTGCAGGCTTTGAGGATAGCTTTTCTACATTTTTCAGAGTAACAATACTTAACATTCATTGAGTGACTGCTATGTGCCTGTTCATTCTAATTACTTTCACACTCATTTTGCCATTTGACCTCCCCACTAACTCTAAGAAGTAAGGTACTGATTACTTACCCCCTTTACAAGATGGGTAAACTAAGGCACAATGAGGCTAAATAACATTCTCAAGGTCACACAACTTTAGGTGGTGGTACTCAGAGAGGCACTGTAGTTCCAGAACCTTGCTTCTAACCTCTATATGATAAAAGCCACTCGTCGAATCGTGTTAGTATAGTATTGTCTACATTATTCCAAAGGGATTTTAAGTGATTAACTGCTGAAATAAGTAAAGTCTGATTTGCTTTGCTTTTTGTCTGTTACATTTGTGTTTTGCTAATGACGATGCATGGAGTTTGAACAGCATCCCTTCTTAAAACTCAAAGGAGTTGAACCATTTGATTTGGTTCTGTCTAGAGTGTCTCACAAATAGTAAAGAAGTTTCAGGCTCTGTAGCACTAGGTCCTACAGTAGTGTGGTTTCCTTGGTAGTATCATGTGCCGAGATGTCACGCTAGGATCACCTCCCACAGGTTGTCACAGACTGTGGGCAAGCAGTTTATTTCCTCAATACATTAATGATCTTCAATTCTTATTCTCCCCTCATCCTGTTTCCCTTGCTCACCATGACTGACTTTTCGCAGATTTATAGCTTCTGTTTTTGTTATCAATAATATAAGTTTAATTCATTTTTCATTTTTTTTTTTAAGATTTTTGCTTATTTATTGAGAGAGAGAGAGAGAGAGCATGAGAGGGAGGAGCGTCAGAGTCTGGAGAAGCAGATCCCCTGCTGAGCAGGGAGCCCTTTGCGGGACTCCATCCTGGGACTCCAGGATCATGACCTGAGCGGAAGGCAGTCGCTTAACCAACTGAGCCACCCAGGCGCCCCCATTTCTTTTTTAAAGTAACTTTGTAAACTGCATGCATGGCCGTGTTTCTGACCTCTTTATTTCCTTTGGCGGTCTTCCAGTTTGTACCTCTGTTCCCTGAGCAGGTTCATTTTAGTCTTCCCCTTTACTTAAAAAAATCAGAGGGTCTTAATTAAGATGGTATTGATGTTGATAATGACGATTTTCCATTTTACGCAGTTTTTGTCCCTCTGATTGCCTAAACGTTCTGAGGCAAGGCATCGCAATCACTCCGCAGGGGTCACACGACCTGGAGAAACGAACCGCTAAAGGGCTTTTGAAATTACAGAACAGGCCCCGGTGCAGTTTCAAAGAGGTGCCGCAAGATGGCAGTGTAGGGAGAAGGCAGAAAGCGCCCTGTCCGAAGCCCTCTCTTGACTGACAGACGCGCCGGCGAGTAGCGGAAGAGGAAGCGACCACGTGGGGCGCTCTACGGTGGCCGACGGGATGCCGCCGAGGTGTTAGCAACGAGGCGGGAAGCCCCCTCGGGGAGTACGGCGAGCTACGTTTCTCTAGTCTAGCTCCCGGAGTATCGAGGAGGGTACCCCGGCAGCCGTCACCATGGTGAAGGAACAGTTCCGAGAGACGGATGTCGCCAAGAAAATGTAAGGTGGAGAAATGAAGGGCAGGGGGTGCGGCGTCAGGGGTCCCGGGTCTCGAAGAGTCCATTGGAAGGGGAGGGCCAGGAGTCAGCGGAAGGTGTGGGCAAAGATCAGAAGTATCAGGGTAGGTCAAAGAAAATTGGTCAGGCAGAGGGCAGTCCAGCACCTGGGGGACTGCAGGCCGGGGGTGGTCCCTGGCCTTGGGATGTGCCGTGAGCCGTGGCGATGCGCGCACCGTGGACCTACGCACGAGTCCTCCCGAGGTCATACGATGGCCTCTCCCGGCCAATCTTTTTTGCCACTGCAGCGTGGGGAGCAATCTGGGGCGGGGAATGTGTCTAATTCTGGTTTTGCTGCAGAGCATGTAACACGGAGGCAGTGTTTGCTGACTGAAAGGATAGCGTTTCCAGTTAGAAAGCTGTATCACTGGGCGATGTGTAGCAGTCTCAGAAAGGAGGCTGCTCTTCTGGACCTTCTCCTTCAGAGCTTATTTATCAGGCCGTGGCCTCCCCTTAGAGCTTACACGGGAAAAATGAACCAATCATTCTTTTTTTTTTTTTTTTAATTTATTTATTTGAGAGAGAGAGAGAGCACAAGAGGGGGGAGCGGGAGAGGGAGAAGCAGACTCCCCGCCAAGCAGGAAGCCCGATGCGGGACTCGATCCAGGGACTCCAGGATCATGACCTGAGCCGAAGGCAGTCGCTTAACCAACTGAGCCACCCAGGCGCCCGAACCAATCATTCTTTTAACAGACGCTTAACTGAGGAAGGTGTTGTGTGCTAGGCCCAGGCATAAGCCTTAGGGCTAGGACACGAATAAGACCTTACTGCCTCTTCTAGTTGGAGAAGATAGACAAGTCAGTGTTGACTAGGGCAAGGACAAGTGTAGGTATAGTTATTCTCAGAACACCTAATGAGAAAGAGATTCGAGCAGAAGAATGCAGACCAGACAGCCTTTAAGGAGCATACTGGAGGGAGAAAGGGGTGATGAGAAGAAAGCAGGAGATCTGAAGCTGTGTTCCAGAATTATCTTGGCACCTCTGTGCCAAGGAACCTCTGAAGCGTTTTAAGCTGGGGAGTGTCTTGATAAAAGAGTTCTCCTTTTCTGGAAGGTCTCTTGATTCTTGGGGGACAGAATAAGAGGGAGTCCTTGGATGCCACTGCAGGGGTCCAGGCAGGGGATGATGATGTCCTGTGGTAGTGTCATTGGAGAGATGGATTTCAGAGGGGTTTAGGGTGTAAAATTGACAGGAGTAGTAGGAACGAGAGAAGGGAGAAATGAGATTGACACAGAGAATTTCTTGCTTGGGCAGTTGTTTGGATGGTTGCCATTCATGGGGAACAAGTGTCTTACTTGGAGGAATCCTTGCAGGTGATCTCTCCATATTCACCCCGGCCCCTCCTGCCCACCCCAAACCCCACCCATATTCAGATGTAATCTGTTCTCACAAAGCAGCCCAAGAGAGCCTGTTAAGATGCAAATTAGATTTCTGACTCTTCAGTTTAAAACCTTCCAGCCGCTTTTTATTGCACTAACATGTAAATTCTATACCAATGTTCCCAAGCCCAGCATGACCTGACCCCATACGCCACACTGGCTTCATCTTGTACCATTAGCTTTCTGCACTCTATTATACTGACTTGGTTGGTTTGGTTCTTGAATGCCAAGCTTGTGCTGGCTCTGGGACCCTTGCCCTAATGATTCTCTATTTCAAATGCCGCATCTCCATCCCGTCTTAAAGCTGGCACCCTCTTACTCAGAATTCAGTTTCAGTGTCAGTTTTACACAGGGGCTTTCTGACCCCACAACGTAGTTTCCTCAGACTCTCTACCACTTCATCTCATTTTCATTCTCTGTATCTGTTCACTTTTGTGTATGTATTTGCTTACTGTCTGTCTTGCCCACCCTGAACTGTGAGCTCCATGTTGGCAGGGACCTTGTCTGTCTCATCTAATCTGTATCCGCAGCTCCTCAAGATGGTGCCTGGCACACAGTAAGTCCCCAGTTTGCTGGTCAGATGATTGAAGGAGCAGATTTGGGGACGAAAGTGTCGGGTTCTGTTTTGGATGTGTCCAGTTTCAGGTTCCTGTGCAGTTGCGCGGAACAGGTGTCTAGACGGCCTCCCGCGGAGTAGCAGTAGCTGGTCTAAAGATGGGGATTACATGGACGTTAACATATACCTGAGTGACACAATCACTCAGGAGGGATGCCTAGAATGAAAAGAAGGGGTTGAGGGTCGTAACCCTGGGTGAGGAGAGATCAGAATATTTAAGGGATGGAGTAGAAGAAGCAACCACAAAAGAAGGAACAGATGGCACGGGGACACACAGAGAGTATGTGGTGTCCCCAAGGCTGTAAGAGGAAAATATTTCAGGATAAGGGGGAAGGCGGAGTTAACATCCAGCACTGCAGAGCGGTAAGATGAGCACATTCTTACCAGGATTTAGCAAGCAGGTGGGCTCGGTGACCTTGATGAACACCATTCATTTGATAGTAAGAATGGAAATGATTTCAGGGGGATGAAGGAGTGTTTACCAAGGAAAAATGGGAGAGACTTGAATATATTTAATAATGGAGCAGAGCCTGTAAACAGTTGGAAGAGTAAGGTTGGTTATGATGGGTCACTGCAATCACCATTTTTGGTAAGTGGTTTTGACATAATTGTTCCCGTTTGTTGTTGTTGTTATTTTTAATTAAGCAAGCTCTATGCCCAACGTGGGGTTTGAACTCACAACCCCGAAATCAAGAGTCATATGCTCTACTGATGGAGCCAACCAGGCGCCCCAGCTCCCGTTTCTTTTTATTCCAGAAGCCACATCTGTTTTGGAATGAAGTCCCCTGAGGAGATGCGCCAGCAGGCCCACATCCAGGTTGTGAGTAAGAACCTGTACAGCCAGGACAACAACCATGCTCCCTTGCTGTATGGTGTGCTTGACCATAGGATGGTAAGTCCCCACCCCCTCCCAGCTCATGTGGCTTGACATGCTGATGAAACTGATGACTTGCCAGGTTGGAAGAAGCAAGAGCTTCTTTCCATCTCCCTTATGCCTCCTGCACCATCTCAGGGACTCCAGCCTTTGGTCAATGGGATGTGAATACTCTGCACCTTCTCAGGTGATTCTGACTCAGAGTCACCCGGTCCCACTTTCCCGTCCAGTGGTCTCCCATTAATAATTGGGTGTGCTTTTATCCAAAGGGTACAAGTGAGAAGGACCGTCCTTGCGAAACCTGTGGGAAAAACTTGGCTGACTGTCTGGGCCACTACGGCTACATTGACTTGGAGTTGCCATGCTTTCACGTGGGCTACTTCAGAGCAGTTATCGGCATCTTACAGGTAGGCGCAGACGTGTTCGTTTTCAAGGCATAAACTTAGGAATTACTGCTCAGGGACATTGGAGTGAGCTTAGGAATTGGGAGTAGTTGGGGATACATCTAGGGAGAATTTTTACATTACACACGTAATATTGCATCTTGCAGTAAGTTAAACCGCGTAAGGATTCTTTATTCTTTCATTTTTCTTGAGTAGGTGGTAGGTAGACGCTATGAAAAATAACAGTAAATCCAGCAGTACAAAACAGCACAAAGTTAAAAAATCAGTCAGCAAAAATCCTACCAGCCAGCTATGACTACAGCTAGCATTCTGGTGAACATCAGCCACCTCTCTGTGCGTATCTCTGGGCATGTCACTCAGTTTCCATGTCCTGGGCAAGAGGTAGGGGTAGGGGTGATTTTTTTTTTTTTTTTTTTTTAGGTAGGGGTGACATTTTTAAAAGGCTTTTTCATCTCTCATCCTTTTATCTGTTTTAATTTTTAAAAGATGATCTGTAAAACCTGCTGCCACATCATGCTGTCCCAGGAGGAGAAGAAGCAGTTTCTGGATTATCTGAAGAGGCCTGGCCTGACCTACCTCCAGAAACGTGGACTGAAGAAGAAAATCTCTGATAAGTGCCGAAAGAAGAACATCTGCCATTACTGTGGCGCTTTTAATGGTGAGCAGGACGCGTAAAAGGCTTAGTAAAGCCCTTTGCATTCACTTTGGTCCATTTAGCTTATTAGTTTCATGCAGTGTTGGGAAGTCAGGTTTTTTTCTTGCAAATGAGGCTTTAGAGCCTAGCAACTGCTGCCCTGTTGGCAAATGCATTTTCAGCGACCTCATTAACCAGACTACAATCTCAGGGCAGCCTGACCCAAGTACCTCATTAGTCCAATCTTGGTAAATAAATTCACTCCTAACAGGTACCGTAAAGAAATGTGGATTACTGAAGATAATTCATGAGAAGTACAAGACCAACAAAAAAGTGGTGGATCCTATCGTATCAAATTTCCTTCAGTCTTTTGAAACAGCCATCGAGCATAACAAAGAAGTAGAACCACTGTTGGGAAGGGCACAGGTGAGCCTGAAAACACATGTCTGCTCTCTGCCTACCTCCCCCTGCATCCCACACACCCATTCTCACCCGCTCCCTCTCTCTGATGAACACCTCTTTCAAGATGAGAAGTCCGATTAAGTTAGATCTCTAGGAATACTTCATGACAAGTGCTTATGTTACACGGTGTTTAATGTAGACTGGCCTTATAACTAATGTAGTTTTTTTTAAGATTTTTTTTTTTAAATTTATTTATTTGACAGAGAGATAGCACAGGTAGGTAGAGCGGCAGGCAGAGGGAAAGGGAGAAGCAGGCTCTCTGCTGAGCAGGGAGCCCGATGCGGGGCTCGATCCCAGGACACTGGGATCATGACCTGAGGCGAAGGCAGCCGCTTAACCAACTGAACCACCCAGGCGCCCCTAACGCACGCATTTTTAATTGTATAGGTAACGTGTTTTATCATAAGAGATTGTGGCTATATAGATCATAAATTGAGAGATGCTGTTTCTCATATGGGTACTGAGATCTAAGAAATTGTAGGTGACTCCCGTTACTTTACTTGGCACAAACTTAACTAGTAGGGTTTTGTGAGGTACCCTGTTCTGCCTTGCTCTGATTTCGATTAGTATTTAATTCCCACAGTACAGTCTAGAATTGGTAGTATACGAGACTAACAAATGAGTTGAATGGTTCCTGAGTACCAAGTTCTATCAGACTTACGGGAGCATCAGGAACTGCAAGACGGTGGGTCTGCTGTCACTGGTCCCACAGTTTAGATGTGTCACAAGCAGTTAGTCTATGAAAAGATAACTGATATCCTAGGGCAGAGTGTTGACCATCATACGAGTGGCAGAGACAGGAAGCTCAGCGGGAAATCGGGAGGAAGATGTCACTTTGGACCTGGTTAGGGAAGACTGAGGAAAGATGTGGTGGGATCTGGGTGAGTCACATTTACAGAGTGAAGGGCAGTGAGCTCAGCATGTCCAGGCGACAGTGTGTAGGCTGTTTCTGAAGCTGAGGCTCTGAAAGACCAGCGAGTGCTAATAAAAGCACCCTGCCTTCAGCAGCTGCTGTTAGGGATGGGCACTGTCCAAGCTCTTCACATGGATTGCCCCCTGTGTAATCTTCAGTAGTGCTTGAGACAGCCTTGCCTGAGATGATCCAGAAGACTATAGCCAAGGGAACTAGAGTGTTGGAGCCCAGACAAGTGAGAGCTTAGTGTAGAGTGCAGCCTGCTCTGGGAATGTGGAGCCAGGGAAGGTGTTGAGCAGGAAAGTTCATGGTGAATAAATGACGAAATCGCAGAAGAGCCTGACTGCTCTCCTAGAGAACCCATTACCAGAGCGAAAAGACAGGCCATGGGCTGGGAGAAAGCAGTCAACATTCGTGTATCTGACAAAGGACTCTCATATCCAGAATATAGGAAACAGTCCTTCAAAATCAGTAAGAAAAATATGATCCTGATTTTAAGCAGTGGGAGCAAAACTTGAATTAGCACTTCACAAAAGGATATATTCATGTGGCTAATAAATAAGTGAAAAATTGCTCAATGTTACTAGTCATCAGGAAAATGCTATTTAAAACTATACACACACACCCCTAGAAAAATTAAAATGTAAAAAAACTGAAAACCATGTGCTGGCAAAGATGTGAAGCGACTGGCACTCCTACGTTGACAGTGGCAGTGTGGAAGGTTATCACCACTCTGAACAATTGTTTGACGATTTCCTATGCTCACCATACTTCCTAGCAGGTTTACTCTTTAGTACATACCCAAGAGAAATGAGTGCCTGTGTCCACAGAAATATTTGTACAAGAATGTTTGTCGCAGCTTTATTAATAAAAGCCACAATTGGAAACAGTCCAGATGATTGTGAACAGGAGAATAAACAAAATTGTCACAGATCCACACGATGGAATACTATCCTGCGTGAAAAGTGAACTCCTGACACACACAACCTGGCCAAATGTCAGAATCCTGCTGAGAACAAGGAACTCTGTACAGGAGGGTACATAGTGTATAATTCCATGTAGATAAGTCCAAGAACAGGCCTGACTGATCTTTGCTGACAGATGTGAGGAGAGCAGTTACCCCTGGGGTGAGGGCTTGGTACTGACTGAAAAGAAGTATCAGGATCCTTTTATGGACAGATGAAAATATTCTATATTTTGATCTGAACACTAGTGTGTGTGGTGTATATGTGTAAAAATGTGTCAATCTCTTTAGGATTTGTACAATTTAATATATGTAAGTTCTGTCTTGATGGGGGGGGGGGGGGCGCGTTACAAGGAAAACAGACCCTGAGCCTAGGTGGCAATAAAGGAGCCAGAGACCAGAGTCACTGGTGCGGTAAGAAGGGCAGCAGTTGATGACCAACCACCAGGGAGATGTGTGGGAGAGGGAGCCGTCAGAGGGGATTGAGCATGTGCACAGACCTCTGGAAAATGAAAGTGATCCTGGAAATGGGGAGACGGTGTCAGCGATTGATTCAAGCAGAAGTGTCTTCAAGGCAGTTAGGACGAAGCTACTGCAGAGGAAGTGAGGGTGTGAGCTAAAGAAGGTGACCTTGCCCTTGTACAGCTGTGAGAGAGGCACTTTGCAGGCTCGTGACTGTGCAGAAAGCAGTCAGAAGCCTGGGGAGCAGCCTCAGTCTGTGAGGTTGAGAGGTGTCTGGGCTTTCTTGGGGGCCGCCTTACTTGCCATCCCCCTGCATGCCCTCTGCTGCTCCTGGATCAGCCTCCCTGGCACCACACCACTACTTACCACGGCCAGCTCCCTGCCCGGGACCGGCAGCCACTGTCCCTGCTCCACACACTGTCGACAGTAGCGCAGTACTTCCGTATGGCCTGGGAGGCATCTTGTTTGGGCAGAGTCTCCTGAATGACTCGGATCTACAGGTAACCCCCTCCCGTTTAAGTCACTAGTCTAGAGCGTCCAGCTTGGCGCTCAGGCCATGCCCCAATGCCACCACCACCCTGTGTACCCCACCCCACTCTGCCCAGATTGACACCCTAGAGGTGGTTTAGGGTAGTGAGGATCTTTGACTTTGGGGTCAGATGGGAGATTAGAGCCCATTTCTGCTGCTTATTTGTTCTGTGACTTTAGACACTTGACCCAACCTGGGCTTGAGTTTCCTCAGCTGTCAACAGGGATTACAGGAGTATCTGCTTTAAGGCTGTTGTAAGGATTAAGAGATGAATTCCAGGTAAAGCGCTTAGCCCAGTGCCTGGTGCAGAGCAAGCACGTAGAGCATATTACCCAGTTGCTGTACCTAGCACTGCTACTGACATTATCGTGATACTAATGACAGGATGGGGGTGCCTGGGTGGCTCAGTCAGTTAAGCGTCTGACTCTGGATTTTGGCTCAGGTCATGATGTCAGGGTTGTGAGATCAAGCCCCGTGTCAGGCTCTACGCTGGGCTTGGAGCCTGCTTAAGATTCTCACTCTTTCCCTTTCTTAAAAAAAAAAAAGCTTTAATAATGACAGGAGTGCCTGGCTGCCTTAGTCAGAAGAGTGTGGGACTCTTGATCTTGGGGTCATGAGCTCAACCCCATGTTGGGTGTAGAGATTACTTAAATAACCTTTAAAAATAAATGAAAACAAACTTCTCTAGTGCAACTGTATGATTTAATTTACAACAAAATTATAAAGAAAATAAGTAATAACAGTCATGGTAAAGACAGGTGAGGCTTCCTCCCCTCTCCACGTGTATGCTGGGACTCTGTCCCTTTGGCTTACTGACTGTGCTCCCTCCCCCTCCTCACCAGACGCCCCCTTGCCTTAGCTTCTTCCCTGCAGCCTCTGCTCTTCCCACCCTTTGATCTCACCCTTTTCTCAACCGCATGTCCATTGTCTGTGCCTCATGTAACACCTGTGTTCCATCTTGTATTTCTGTTGGTTTCTCCTTAAGTGTGCTCTGTAACAAGATCCATTTTTCTGAGGTCCTGTTTGAGGACTTTACAGTGCTTGGAGCAGTGGCAGGGCCTCCAAAGTTGTCAGAGACCATCAACTTATCCTGGTTCTTATACCAGCTGTGAAAGGAGGGAGGGGGCGAAACAGGAATTCACCATTGCCTGATTCCGAATGGCCCTTCCTCAGAGAGGGCCCCTTAGTCACCTAAGTGAACAAAGCATCAGTGAGTCCTTTTTACCTTTTGTGGAGAGGGCTATCGTGCAGACAGGTGGGTGTATTGCCCTGAAGCTCATTAAACTCAGGGTGGTCCACATCCTGACATGCTTACCTACCCGTTTAATTTCCAGGAGTGTGGAACCTCATGTGCCTTTATGGGCAGCATAGCATCCTTGAGTTAGAGGAAACCTTAGAGCAGTGGTTCTTGACCTTTTCTGGGTCACAGCCCTCTTTAGGAATTAAACAAAAACTCTGGACTCTATCTCCAGAAGACTAGTGTATATCCACTCCCTGTTTTAATGCAAATCCAGGAGTTGGTGGACCTGCAGATAAGAGTCTCTCCATAGAGGGGCGCCTGGGTGGCTCAGTCGGTTGGGTGTCCAGCTCCTGATCTCAGCTCAGGTCTCAATCTCAGGGTCTTGAGTTCCAGCCCTGCATTGGGATCCACACTGGGGGTAGAGCCTGCTTTAAAAAAAAAGGGGGGGGGAAGAATCTTTCCATAGATAGCATCAGTATTGCCTCCCCACCAGGTAGAAATGCCTTCCATAGCGACCCCAGCAGATTGAGTGGCAGGCTAAGCTTCTCTGTGGCACCTAGGGCAGTCCACGCTCCACCAGGGAACCCTGGCTGTTTAGATATTGTGCCTTGGACCCAACAGCCCTTCTTTCTGTCTCTCCAGCGGTCCCTGACTTCCATTTCCTAGTACATAACAATAATCAGGGCTCTCTTCCCCGTGCCCTTTGGGAGGCAAGTGTTATGTCATTCTGGAGTAACGGCTCTGGCCAGGAACTGGTCTCCAGACTCTTGTCAGTCCTCCTGCCCTCCTCCAACAGCCTTCAGTTCTGTGATGTTCTTGTCTAGCACTGACCCTGGTACTGCAAGGGACATCTGGCCTTCATCCTGTTCCTAGAACTCTTAGTTAGATATCCTCCGACTGCCTCAGGTGGCCGTGAGGTGCACGTTACTGGGAGGCAGGGAAGCTGAGGAAGGGAATTCTGCGGGCAGGGACCCGGACTGCAAAACTTCAAGCAGGATTCCTTCTTTCTCCCCAAGTCCACTGCCTTCTCCAGGGCAAGCCCACAGAAATGTCCTCTTGTGACAGTGTCCTAAGGGCAGTGGATTTTCAAACATTTCTTCTTAACTTTGTTTCCCTGTCTCATTAAGTTACGCATAGCAAGTTCTGCTTGTAACACATATTCTTTGTCACACAGTATTTAATCCCAAGAAAATGTAATTTTCAGCAACAAGACACAAGCTGACCATTCTTACCTTTGATCTTTGAGTTTCTCTGATCATGCGTGTAGTTCTTATGAGGAAGTTGTTATAGCATAGCACTTCTATAAAATGAAGTTGATACAAAGGCAATATAGGGCACCTGGGTGGCTCAGTCAGTTAAGTGTCTGCCTTCAACTCAGGTTATGATCCCAGGGTCCTGGAAAGGAGCCCCTCTTCTGGCCTCCTGCTCAGTGGGGAGTCTCCTTCTCCCTCTCCCCTCCCGCCGCTCATGCTCTCACTCTCTCTCAAATAAATGAAAAATAAAATCTTAAAAAAAAAAATAGGAAGGCGGGCGCCTGGGTAACTCAGTCGGTTGGGCGTCTGCCTTCGGCTCAGGTCATGATCCTGGAGTCCCTGGATCGAGTCCCTTATCGGGCTCCCTGCTTAGCGGGGAGTCGTCTTCTCCCTCTGCCCCTCACCCTGCTCGTGTTCTCTCTTTCTCACTCTCTCTGTCTCTCTCTCAAATAAATAAAATCTTCAAAAAAAATACAAAGGCGATGTAAGTTCACTGCAGAAAATTTATTTTTTAATGCTTTTTTTTTTTAGATTTTATTTATTTTTTAAGATTTTATTTATTTATTTGAGAGAGGATGAGATAGAGAGCATGAGAGGGGGGAGGGTCAGAGGGAGAAGCAGACTCCCTGCTGAGCAGGGAGCCCGATGCAGGACTTGATCCTGGGACTCCAGGATCATGACCTGAGCCGAAGGCAGTCGCTTAACCAATTGAGCCACCCAGGCGCCCCAAGATTTTATTTATTTATTTGACAGAGAGCACACAAGCAGGGGGAGCGGGACGGAGAGGGAGAAGCAGGCTCCCTGCTGAGCAGGGTCAATTTAGGTCAATTTAGCAGGGAGCCTGATGCAGGACTCAATCCCAGGACCCTGGAATCATGACCTGAGCCAAAGGCAGACGCTTAACTGACTGAGCCATCCCGGCGCCCCACTGCAGAAAATTTAAATGTAAACAAAGAAGCAAGAAGATTATAATTCCACTCACCTGCAGACAGTACTATTAACAGCTTGCTAAACATCCATTTCCTCTTTTCTGTACAGATGTACATTTTCCCCTGAAATGAGATCATAACATTCACACGCTTCTTTCATTTACCAATATTTTATGAACAGCTTTCATGGCAATAGCTACATTTCTGTAGTGTTTTTTTTTTATGGCTTCATGGTTGCTTATGTATGGATATACTATGATTTTATCTAGCCAGCAACCTATCAGGTTATTTCCAACTCTTCACTGTTAACAGCTTTAGGGAACATCCCTGTAGCTGAATCTTTGTGTTGATTTCTAAAGTCATTCCCTTTGGAATAATTAGAAGTGGAATTACTGGCTTAAATAATTGGAATAAAAGGCATGTATGTGTTTAGGGCTCTGCCACCGTAGCATGTTACCAACAGAAATTTCTTTCAGTGCGTATAGTTAACTCTGAGTTAAGTGGTGAATGGGGTAGAGAGCATGGAGAAGTAAACTTGCCCAAACTGTGGAAAGTTAACGTGTCTCTCCATTCTTTTTTCCTCCTCTCTATAGGAAAACTTGAATCCCTTAGTAGTTCTGAATTTATTCAAACGAATCCCAGCTGAAGATGTCCCTCTACTTCTAATGAACCCAGAAGCTGGAAAGCCCTCTGATTTGATTCTCACACGACTTTTAGTGCCCCCTTTGTGTATCAGACCCTCCGTCGTGAGCGATTTGAAGTCTGGCACCAATGAAGATGATCTGACGATGAAATTGACAGAAATCATTTTCCTAAATGACGTCATTAAAAAGGTCAGTACAACGTTCTGCGTTGAGCACTGGATGATATACGCAAACAATGAATCATGGAATACTACATGAAAAACTAATGATGTAATGTATGGTGATTAACATAACATAATGAAAAAAAATGAAAAAAAAAAAAAGTCGGTACTTCCAAGCACTAGATTTAGGAGCGTTATCTATTGCAAACACTTCTCATCAAGAAAGTCAGGTTGACCCAGGATCATGTTTTCTCATTCTCTGCTCATTTTTAGCATCGGATATCAGGAGCAAAGACCCAGATGATCATGGAAGACTGGGATTTCTTGCAACTACAGTGTGCCCTCTACATTAACAGCGAGCTCTCAGGCATTCCCCTCAACATGGCACCCAAGAAATGGACAAGAGGTTTCGTCCAGCGCCTAAAGGGAAAACAGGGTATGTTTCCAACAAAATGTGCAGGAGACAGTCTACTGCCTTTGTTACCTTTTTCTGGAGTGTATGTCCAGCTTATCTAATTAGCAATCACAGACTTCCCTAGTTCTCTGTGGTCATACTATTCCAAAGCAGCATACGTTTGTTCCATGGAGACCTATGACGTGTTTTTGTTGATTTAGGTCGATTTAGAGGCAATCTCTCAGGAAAGAGAGTGGATTTTTCTGGCAGAACAGTCATCTCACCTGACCCCAATCTCAGGATCGATGAGGTAGCTGTGCCCGTTCATGTGGCCAAAATTCTTACTTTTCCTGAGAAGGTAAGTTCCATTCAGCCACTCAATTCTGTGTTTGTCTTTTATTTTGAGATTCCAAACAATAGACAGTTGGAAAATCCCGGGTAATGCACACAACCCACAGTTTGGTGTGTGTGTTATCTTCCGGTTTCATACATCTACCACCGCGTATAACATCTGCCACCGTGCAAGCACAGATGTGTCTGGCTGTGTGTGTATACGCTCAGAGATACGTTAGACATAAGCTGCTGCAACTGGTTTTTCCAAGTAGTATGGTCTTTGACCTCTTAGTTCCATCTTACCTCTTTTTTTTTTTTTTTAAAGGTTGTATTTATTTATTTGAGAGGGAGAGGGAGCACAACAGGGGGAGCAGCAGGCAGAGGGAGAAGCAGGCTCCCGGCTGAGCAGGGAGCCCAATGCAGGACTCGATCCCAGGACCCTGGGATCATGACCTGAGCCAAAGTCAAATGCTTAACGACTGAGCCACCCAGGCGCCCCTACCTCATATTTTTAAAGTAACTAAATGATAAGCACCACACCCAGTTAATTTCCATGGGATGGATTATTATTTTTAAGACTTTATAATCACTGAGTCAAATACTTTGAATATATATATATTTTTTAAAGATTTCATTTATTTATTTGACTGAGAGAGACACAGCGAGAGAGGGAACAGAAGCAGGGGGAGTGGAAGAGGGAGAAGCAGGCCTCCCGCTGAGCAGGGAGCCCGATGCAGGGCCCGATCTCAGAATCCCAGGATCATGACCCAAGCCGAAGGCAGACGCCCAACAACTGAGCCACCCAGGCGCCCCTGCTTTGAATATTTTGAGGCTATTGATGCATAGTCAGAAAGGCTGCACCACTTTGCACTTAACTCACACTCATCATGAGTATAAAATGGAATATATAGTAACTGAGGTATAGAAAACTGTAAGTCCTGATAATAGGAGGATATGGGCTTTGGCTTTGCTTTTAAGATTCATAATTAGATCGTGGAAGCTTTTGGTAAAGCTTGTGTAAAGTAGCCTTAGATATTTTATGTATCTGATTCAGTTTCCTTCTTTGAGATGGGGTTCCACAAGACTGTTGTCTGAGAGGTTGCAGGACATGACAGTGCAGAGCATGGCCTAGTGGTGCTGGAGTCACAGTTTTTAAACCTCAGGAGCCCATGGTAAATCATTGCTAGTGAGGTTGCCAACTGTTCTTAGGATCACAGGATGTGGCAGAAGGTCCCTACAGCTCAGTCCAGCCCACTCATTTCACTAATAGGGAAACCAAAGGCCAGTAAAGGACTTGGCCATTTCACCCTGCCAGTGGTGAGTTCAGATTGGAACCTGGGCTCCTGTGCCAGTCCGCTGTTGTCATTAAACTCAAGACCCAAGGCAGCAGGATGCTGCCTTTCTTTCTCCTGGAATCACCCAAGGAAAGTAAAGATTGAGACACAACTCAGCGGACAGAAACCTGACGGTAATCCTTGTGTCTTTTATTGTGGTTGTGCAGGTGAACAAAGCAAACATCAATTTTTTGAGGAAACTGGTTCGAAATGGCCCTGAAGTTCACCCAGGAGCCAATTTCATTCAGCAGAGACACACACAGATGAAAAGGTAATGCTGGCCCAATCTAGCCATATGTAACAACGTTCTCACACCCAAGGTCGCCATACTCAGCCACAGAATACAGTCCAAAATACAACATTTGTGACATTTTAGCATGTGAAAAATACTGTTTAAATTTTAGTGAGCACGGGTTCATCATTTGCTGTGTTTGTGCATTGAATATACACAAAATGTCCATTTGTTCTCTAGCATATATTGTTGGTCTGGGTAGACAGAACATATGGAGTTAGGAAAGCCAGTCATTTTCTGTGCACACGGGCTCTGTGGGGTTACTTACTGTATTTACAGCCTTGTTTTGCCCACTCAGGCTTTCCACTAATCACTGGTGCCTTTTGATCTCCTGGGATAAACGTAAGATAAAAAACATATTAGCAGGGTGCTGTGGGAGAAGCCGACTTATTCCTGCATTTCTGTGATTCTAAGACATAACTTTTTTCATATTTTAACATTTATGAAATGAAGATATACTGACAGTGTGTCATAGTTTAACTGACGGGCTTGTGAAGGCACCTTCGATTCAGGGCAATGTGATCATTTTTGAGACTGATTCCTGATGTGAAGAGGGAGCAACTTGGTGAGGAGGCTTTACTCTCATAGATCACGTTTCTTACCATACACTTAGGTTTTTGAAGTATGGAAATAGGGAAAAGATGGCCCAGGAGCTCAAGTACGGGGACATCGTGGAGAGACACCTCATAGATGGAGATGTGGTGCTGTTCAACCGGCAGCCGTCGCTGCACAAACTGAGCATTATGGCGCATCTGGTGAGCGTGACATTTCTGTTTTTAGCTTCTGTTGGGTCGGAATTGGCTGGATGTGCGATGCAAAATTCCGGACCCCTAAAATTCGATTGCCAGTAATCTCAAATTTTTGTGACCTTCTGATTTTTCTCTACTCTCACTTTTTAGTTTGAGTGAAACTTTTACGTTTCAGGCTTCCCTTCAGTATTTTTCGTATTGATAAAATCCACACACAACAGTGAAACAGAAAGGAACTAATTGAAAACTAGTGTGAAAGTGACTAGCACGATTCCACTTGCAAACAAAATATATACATATATGTGTGTGCGCAGACTTACGTAAAATAGATATGGCAGAAAGGAGATTTCAGGTTTCACTTAGCATATTAACTATGGAACTAAAATGCTTAGGAGATTTTTCGTCGCAGTGGCCCTCCAACGAAGACCTTCAAGCATATTTTCTTCGGTGATTTAGTTTTGCAACAGCAGCAGTTCCTTTTTCTGGAGATTTAAAATGGAAATTAGATGCAACTTTAATTCGCTCAATATTCATAAATTCTCCTTCTCCAAAGCCTTTAAATCCATGAGCATTTGCAAACAGTGTTTAAACAGGCTCTTCGGGTAGTGTCTTTCTAGATTTAGTTTTTCACTTCACGAACATGTTTCCTCAATCTTTTTACTTAAGTCTGGAAATATCAAAGAAACAGTTTATGATTATGGGGGTTATGATTATGGGGATCTAGGGAGAGGACAAAAGCCTTCCTTTCCCAGAAACTTTTTCTTGGCTTTGGGGCATTCTCAAAATAAAAATGTTTTTGTTTGAAAAATTTCAAATATATACAAAAGTGGAAAGAATCCTATGAAGAACTCCTATATTCTCATTCTGTTTTTAATAATTTTCAAGATTTTGCCACTCCTGTTTTCTCTCCCTTTTTCCTTTGATGGCCCCAGATGCCATGTCTTCTCTCCATGTGTATTCAGTTTACTTCTGTAAGACACACATAACCACAGTGCCATACCACACTACACAAAATGAACACTCACTCCTTGGTATTGTCCGGCACCCAGTCCATGCTCACATTTCCCCAAGCATCTCAACAATCTTTTCACAGCTAGTTTGTCCAAATCTGGATGTCAAGTCTGCACGTGACATTTGGTTGATAACATGTCTTCAGTTTCTCTTGATCTAGAACAACTGCCCCCCCTTTTTCTTTTTTTTTTTTTTATTTTAGTTATTTATTTGACAGAGAGAGAGTGAGAGGGAAAACAAGCAGGGGGAGTGGGAGAGGGAGAAGCAGGCTTCCCGCGGAGCAGAGAGCCTGATGCGGGGCTCGATCCCAGGACCCTGGGATCATGACCTGAGCGGAAGGCAGACGCTTAACGATTGAGCCTCCCAGGCACCCCCCCCTTTTAATTTCACTGTTGGTGAAAAAGCCAGGTCATTTGTCCTGAAGAAATGTCCCGTGTTCTCTTTATGTATACGCATGGCATTAAGAGTTTCTTCATTCTTCCTTTTATTCCTATAAACTGGCCAGTAGCTCTCAAGGCAGGGTCAGATTCATGTTCAACTTCTGGCAAGAGTAACTCCTAGGTGGTGCTGGCTACTTCCTCTTACCTTATTTCAGAAGGCATGTGTTGTCTGGCTGCCCCACTCTTAGTTATGCTGAGAAGGTTAGGGCATCAGATACTTGAGCCTGGCGCCTCCCTTGAAAGTTTTCTTATCGACCCTTTTTCTAAAGGTTTCCTCCAATTATGATTATTGCCAACATTATTTCATGGGGGCTACAAAATGGAGATTTTCTAATCTGTCATTCCTTTCACATTTCATACCCACCATTTGTATAATGAAGAATTTTGTCTTACTAACTAGGGTTATTTATTACCCAAAAATATAATTCCTGAAGGAAAGGCAGCATATAAATGCCTGATTCTTTTTCCTTTTTTATCAGTTTGGGGAGGAGAAAGTTGGCATTCAATTTCTTCCAACTACGTTGGTTTGGGTTTTGTGTGTGGTCTTGCTTTCCCCTTTTTTCAGTGTCATTATAAACTCATGGGCTTTTATTTAGTGTGTTTTAATCAGTTTCTGCCATGAATCTGTTTGATATCAAACTATGACATCATTGGCCAGGGGAGCCCTTTCTTGTGGCTCTTAGGTTGGTATTTGCCTTGTGTTAAACTCACTGTATTGTTTTGATCTCATAAAGCTACTTGAATAAGTCCACAAGTGACATATTATCACTTGACAGAACATACTAGAAATTTATTTTCTTAAAGTATCCAGTTCTCCAGGAAACCATTTATTAATGTTTTGAAACCATGAGGTTTTTGGGTAAATGACTAAGTCCCTCTCCTATTTTGTTTTGTATGTGTCTGTGTTTGTGTGTGTGTGTGTGTGTGTATGTATTCCACAGGCCAAGGTCAAGCCGCACCGGACCTTCAGATTTAACGAGTGTGTCTGTACGCCCTACAACGCAGATTTCGATGGCGATGAGATGAATCTTCATCTTCCTCAAACGGAGGAAGCTAAAGCAGAGGCCCTTGTTCTGATGGGGGTATGTAGGGTGGCAGCCCCACCGCTCCCCGAACAGCCTGAAAGGAGGGGAAGGGCAGCGGGTCCTGTTTGAAAGCACCTTATAGTATGTAAGGGAGTGTCTGTGACAGGTGGGGAGTTGAGGGGAGTATCTTCTGGCCTATAACGTGCATCTCTAAGGGAAAGTACCTATTCGAGCACCAGCTATGAAAAGATAAGACAGGTGTGTAGCCCTAGATCCTTTAGTTTACATTTTACTGTTAGGCTTTATCACATATCAGTCCCTCTATTCTTCCTTCTGTCTATCCATAATCCATCTTATATCTGGCAGCATTTAACAGTAAGTGGCAGACATTTAGTATACTCCCTAAATAACTGAGTCTGCATACAGTTAGATTTAAATGGTTTATTTTTTTTCTTACTTTTCATTTTTAAGGTGAAGTGTACCATTCTATTTATGCATTGGCAAGTGCATAGAGCTGTGTATATCAAACTCTTGTCAAGACAGAGAGCATTACTATAACCCCCCAAAATTTCCTCTTGTGCCTTTCCATTATAACTCACCTGCCAGAGGCAATACTATCCTGATTTTTTCCCCACTGTGTATCTGGTGTCTTTTCTTTCTTTCTTTTTTTTTTTTATTTATTTGACCAAGAGAGACACAGCAAGAGAGGGAACACAAGCAGGGGGAGTGGGAGAAGCAGGCCTCCCGCTGAACAGGGAGCCCGACACAGGGCTCGATCCCAGGACCCTGGGATCATGACCCGAGCCGAAGGCAGATGCTTAACGACTGAGCCACCCAGACACCCCTGGTGTCTTTTCTAAAACTCCATGTAAGTGGAATCATACATTTACACTTTTTTTGTGTACCTCTTCTGTCACTCAGCATGCTTTTAAAAATCATCTGTAGTTGTACATTTGTTGCAGTGTGTTGTTTTTTATCGCTGAATAGTATTATATGAATAAGCCATGTTTAAAAAATAAAAAAGATAAGGGTATAGCAATGTCTTGACTGTTGGGGGTAATGGGAAAAGCATAAGACGTTCTGCATAAGAGGATTTTTTGGTAGTTGAAGATATCTTTAAGTACTAATACATTTTATTGAACATTCTGAACAAAAATCTTCCAACAGTATATTACGTGCTCGTTTGTTGTCTAAAGGACACACTAAACAAAATCATTCTGTAGAGGTTATGTTTTCCTTATTCCCAGTACTCTGGTTTTCTGTATTATCATGGGCTGTTTTGTCTGTGGCTATCAGTGCTCCTACCTCCAAAACACTTCTCAACGTTTCTGATTCGGTGCTTTTTTTAATCTGTTTTAATTTACAGTGTTAGTATGATTCTAAAGTGAAGGCAGTTAAGTTCCGCAAGCATATCTATTAAACTACAGGAGGATTTGGTGGGGACAGGAAGGAGGGGCTGCATTCTTGGCCTGCCTGGGTTCTTCATGCCTGAAGTTGATATAGTTTTTCTGGTAAAATGAAGTATTTAATGTGGTGCAGATTTTGTGTACACACTTAACTACTAAGAAATTCATGTGGCTAAAATACACTGTGGTCTTCAATTTTTTAAAACATTGATTCTTGAGCACCTGAGTGGCTCAGTTGGTTAAGCTACTGCCTTCGGCTCAGGTCATGATCCTGGAGTCCCAGGATCGAATCCCACATCAGGCTCCCTGCTCAGCAGGGAGTCTGCTTCTCCCTCTGACCCTCCCGCCTCTCATGTGCTCTCTCTCTCTCATTCTCTCTCTCAAATAAATAAAATCTTTAAAATAAATAAATAAATAAATAAATAAACATTGATTCTTATTTATTCAAATGTTCTAGCATAATGGAGTTATTTAAATAAGAATTTTACATATCACAACTTCTCTGTTTTCTTTATTTCCACCTCTTTTTATCTGTTTGTTCCTTATCCTTGAATTTAGATACTTGTTGTGGTCATGGTTTGTGATAGCCTCTGTATTCCTTTTTACTACTTAATGTATTATAAGGGCGCCTGGGTGGCTCAGTTGGTTAAGTGTCGGACTCTTGGTTTTAGCTCAGGTCATGATCTCAGGATTGTGAGATCAAGCCCCTCATGGAGCCTGCTTAAGATTCTCTCTTTCTCCTTCTTCCCTCAGCCCCTCCCCCTTTTAAAAAATTAATAAATATAAACTTAAAAATAAATGCCCCCATTTGTTGTTAAGTCTTCATAATTATTGAGTATAATGGCTTTACAGAATTTCACCAGGTAAACACACCAAGGTTCATCTACCTTCTGTTGAGAATTGAGGGTGTTTTCCCTGTTTTGCTCTGAGGATGAATCCTTCAGTGGCCATCTTGGTGTATTTGGAGTCTTTCTTCTTGTGAATTATTTCTTCAGACTCCTCAGCCTTTTAAAATGATTGGTTGATGCTTATTGAGCACCTACTGTGTGCCAAGTACTCTTCTAGGAACACAACACAGAATAAGAAAGTCAAAGTTCTTGTTCTCATCCCTATTCAAACAGAGAGAAGTGAAGAATAAACAATTATAAAATAGGTCAGGTGGTGATAAGTGCTGAGAAGAAAAGAACAAAACACAGCAAGGAGGAAAGAAAATGAGAGGTGTTCTGTTCCATAGAGGATGGTCAGGGAAGGCCATTGAAATGATAACACTTGAGCCAGCTTCTGAAAGAAGTGGGAGAATGAGCAGCATGACTGTGTGCATAAGAGCAATCCAAGCAGAGGAACAACAGGTGCAAAGACCCTGTGGTATGATCCGACCTGGCATGACAAGAGGCAGCCTGTTTCCTCCTAAGTGTCAGTATTTGTAGCAGTTGCGATGAGTGCCGTGTTAGGTGTTGGTGGACAGCGAGAGAGATGATGCAGGGGGGATGGCCACGAATGAGTTCTATGCTCCCGCGGTCAGATGGTGTAGTGATCATTCCTTCTGACCTTGCACTCTCCTTGCTAGTAAGCGCTCCAGAGGACATATGCAGAGTTGCAAAATTACTTGTAATAATAAAACGTTAGAAACACAGAGTTGCAAAATTACTTGTAATAATAAAACGTTAGAAACAATGTCCACCAATAAAAAGTTGGTAGGATTAAATTATGTCACATTCATACCACGAAATCCTGTGTAGCCCTTAAAAATGATGATATAGTTTGTATAGCTGTTGGTTAAAAGCTACTTACGATTTATTTTTTATTTTAAAAATGTATTAAATGTAAAATCATGTATGACATGATCGTATTTTGCTTGGTAAAGAGATGCTTCTATGTTTGTAAAAGCATTTCTAGACAGAGGTTGGAAGGGTTATATACCAAAATCTTATAATAGCAGTTCTTTGGTTTGGCAGTTCATACAGAGATTTTTTTTTGGATTTTTGATTTTTTTCACCTTTTTTCATGTTTATATTTTTAGATTTTTTTTTCTATAAAGAACATACTGATTTTTGTAATAAAAAGTAATGTTTAGATGTTGCCAGTGATATCAGCTGTGTATCTGGTTTCTGGTGATAACGGCCTGTCACCAACCAGTTGGACTTTAGCATTGACTTTGGTACTGAAGATCCATTTTGTTGTATCATATTTCCTTGGTTAAAAATGACAACAATAGGGCACCTGGGTGGCTCAGTTGGTTAAGCGACTGCCTTCGGCTCAGGTCATGATCCTGGAGTCCCGGGATCGAGTCCCGCATCGGGCTACCTGCTTGGCAGGGATTCTGCTTCTCCCGCTGACCCTCCTCCCTCTCATGGTCTCTGTCTCTCATTCTCTCTCAAATAAATAAATAAAATCTTAAAAAAAAAAATGACAACAATAAAACACAGGCTCCAAGGATATTGGGATGGAAGAATCTTTAGTTACTATCGGGACAAATCCCCTCAATTTTATGTAAGAAAATTATCATCTACTGTATTGACTCAGCAGTTGTGACTCAGTGGAGTGGGTATGGCTCTAGCCTGAATATAGTCCCAAATTACCCAGGAGACTTGCAAAATATGCAGATCCCAGCTTCATGTGCTCAGCCCCCAGACCACCTCCCTGTCCTGCCTCAGAGAGATTCTCGAAAGCAGGCATGAACAACTGTCTTCCAGCCCTAGCTGGAGGATCACCGTTCCGTGCAGCGTTAACAAGAAGGCAGAAGCAGGTCTCTCCCTTGAAGGGCCTTTTACTCCAGGTGAGGTTGCCCAGACAACCCGCAAGTAACACAAGCATCTCCACATCAAGATTTGAGCAAATTTATCTGTCAGTTACATCTCAACAACAGCAAAAATTGAACAAATGCATTCTGATGCATAGAATCTTCTTTAAACTTGTTAATTATGCCCTGAACAACTAGCACCCCTTTTTGTTCAGTGTAGGCATTCGTTAAATTTTAATTAAATCCTGTTGTTAATTATTGTTAGAACCCAGTGTCTTGACCAAGAGAAGTTCAGCAGTTCTGCCATCATTGTGGAGAGGTATGGAATTGGTTGTCCTCAAAGGTAACAGTGCTGCCATCATTCATAGAAGTGAATTTTCTTTGAAGAAGTGCATTTATTAATAACCGTGAAGTCTTACACATATGGAGTTCTTGTAGGAATCCAAAACAACTTCACTCAGTATTGATTTTAGTGTTGGTAGGAACGTCTGAGGCCCATTTCTTGCAGGTAAAGGAAAGAGGAGCTGGTGACAAAGCTGGAATCAGGACCCCTGTCTTCCATTTCTCAGCCTCTTTTTTCCGCTCACCAGCTATTCTGTATTTATTTGCAGCAGTTCGGAGTCTTTAGGGTGCAGTTCCTGGCCTGCATCATGCAATCCAAAGAACGTATGGATGGAATGGCTAATGTATTGTTTGTTTTTCCTTCAGACTAAAGCAAATCTGGTAACACCAAGGAATGGAGAACCACTAATTGCTGCTATTCAGGATTTTCTGACAGGTGTGTGTGTGAAGTCACTTGAAGGGAGACTGGAACACCAGGATTCTCTTTCACAGTGAATCATGTCACAACTTAGAGAGCTGTGTAATTTCCTGTGTTTAATTCTGTTGTTCGTTTACTAAGTGTTGACTTTGAACCGACTTGAGAGATTTTGTGTTGGTTGGTTATGCTTGGAATCAGTAAGCATTCGTTGAGCTCCTAAGGTGCCCTAGACATTTTTCTAAGCACTGGAGATACCGCAGTGACTCAGACAAAGTCCCTCTCCTTGTGGAGCTTCGATTCTGGTGGGAGGAGAGAGCCAGCAAATAGCTCTATGTTTTAATTCACTCTTTTGGTAATAGCCCAGATTCATTTTAAAATCAAAACCTTGTGATTTTTCTCACAGTTTCATTCCGTTTCTTTGTGTTGTGTTATTGCCAACATTCGTAGGTGCCTATCTCCTCACCCTGAAGGACACTTTCTTTGACCGCGCCAAGGCTTGCCAAATCATTGCTTCAATATTGGTTGGCAAGGATGAGAAAATTAAAGTTCACCTTCCACCCCCGACGATACTAAAGGTTTGTGCGGATGCTTGGGGTGCTGGTGGCAGGTTAGGCTGCGAGCACTCTGCAGTCGAGACCAGGCTCAGCCAACTGATGCTGTGGCTTCCTTCTGCAGCCTGTCACCCTATGGACGGGAAAGCAGATCTTCAGTGTCATCCTCAGACCAAGCGATGACAACCCAGTGAGGGCCAACCTCCGAACCAAGGGCAAGCAGTACTGCGGCAAAGGAGAAGATCTCTGTGTCAATGATTCCTGTGAGTGAAGGCAGCAGGCTGGGAGGGGGCGGAAAGCAGGTGACCAGTGATTGCCTTCCCGGAGCAGGCAAATCCGAGGTTGCTCTTAGGCGGGAAGTTTATTTGGGGAAATGTAGTTGGTGTTTCTCCTCTCAGATGTGACTCCCCATTTCTCTAAAAAGTAGAGATCATGGAGGTATGTGATCCAGTGATTAGAATGTTCTTCTCCAGAGCTCCAGATGTGTTTTAGGTGACTAGTTTCTATAAATTCATGCAATTTCTTTTATTCTGCCCCTACCCTTTTTTTTTTTTTTTTGCCATCAGCAAGGGTCTCATTTTTTAAGGCATATAATTTATCATTTTACTTCCAAAAATGTGTTCATTGTCTAAAAGTATAGTTAGTAGGACTGTTTTTTTACTGCCTCCTGGTCAGTGAGTTTTTTATGACATGAAGATCAGGTATAACCATGAGAGGATTTAAATGTTAAACCATCCGAGTCATCCAGACTAGTTCAACCCAAAGTATGGTCCACAGACCAATGCCATTCAGCCAGCGTTTGGTTTGTTGAGCGAGCTCCTTTGCTTCCCCTCAGACTGCTAACGAGCAGTTCCCCAGCAGACTACTGTGAATGGCACTGACTTTGAATGGGCTTTGTTAGCCAGGCCTTGTGACAAGAAATAGTTCTCCAGGACTCTGCACTGAAGAACTGGACTGCAGAGTCTCTGAGGGTCAAGACTTCCACTGTTTTGCCACGAAGAGTAAATGTTTCGAAGGGCACCAATTTTTCTCAGGTTTATAACCATTACTTTGAAAATATACTCTCTGGTCTTTTAGGTGTTTTGGCTTCTTGTTTTAGATTGTGTTTTGTTTTTACCTAGATGTGAATTTCATTTTGTGGTATAGCCTCTTCCAGGTGCCATTAATTTTCATTCTCTTGTGTGAATAACAATGTGCTTTATAGTTTATAGAGTACTTTGTTGCACATGATTTCATCAGATGCTCAAATTATCCCTGTGACAGAAAGATGACAATTGGTCAACACTGTCATTCTCAGTTCACAGTTGAAAATGAGGGTCAGGTGGTACATTTAAGAGTTAGGATTGTAAAGTAACTAACTGGGCTTTTCATGCTTTTCAAAAGTCCCTAGATTTCTCTTCTTTCTCCTCAGACTTTTTTGTTTAAGATTTTATTTATTTGACACGGAGAGAGACACAGCGAGAGAGGGAACACTGCTCAGGGGCAAATGGGAGAGGGAGAAGAAGACTCCCGGCCGAGCAAGGAGCCCGATGTAGGGCTCAATCCCAGGACCCGGGGATCACGACCTGAGCCGAAGGCAGACACTTACAACTGAGCCACCCAGGCGCCCCTCTCCTCAGATGTTTTTAGAGAATTTTTATTTGCTCTGCTTTAATTTTCAATATGGGAAGGTATTTTCTCAACTGCGTCATGTTCATTTTGGAACGAGGCTAAGTAGTAATTGTTTAAGTGCACGGTCATCGTTATCCTTGCAGACGTTACTATCCAGAACAGTGAGTTGATGAGTGGCAGTATGGACAAGGGAACTCTGGGGTCCGGATCCAAGAACAACATATTCTACATTTTGCTGCGAGACTGGGGGCAGAACGAAGCGGCCGATGCGATGTCACGGCTTGCCAGGCTGGCTCCTGTCTACCTCTGTGAGTATCTCAGTATCCTCGTTTTATTGCGGTACTTGCTGAGGTTTAGGGGCTCTGTGCTGCTTCCTTCTTTTACCTTTAACTCCCCCGACCCCCACACAGCACACACATACCTGTGCACAGGAAAGGAGACTTACTCCCGGCTGAATCATTTGTGCCTTCACTTCATGAAATTAGCTCAGTACTGACCGGTTTGGTTCAGATTTGAATTTGCTCTTGAGTTCTTATCTCACGTGCGCAGCAGCTCCCTGTTGCCCCTCAGACAGGGTCATTAGACCAAGGGCCCTTCACAGGTTCCTTCCAGATGCCTGCGCTCTGACCACAGCCCCCTGGGCCCTCGTGACTGGGTTCTGCCAGGCCCTCATCTTCCCCTTCTCTCCTTGCACTGTTCTGTTTCCTTTGTTTGCTCAGGCTTTGAGCAGGCCCTGGTCCAGATTTTTACATGCCCCAAAGCATTCTTATTCAGCTCCTACACTTGATCGATTCTCTGGCTGGGTATAGAACTCTGGATTGAATTCTGTCTTTCCTCGGAATTTTGAAGGTCCTGCTCTCCTCTAGCCCTCGGAGATGTTGTTAAAGTGGATTTCTATTCCTATTTTCACATTGTTGTATCTGTCTTTTCATTCCGGATTGAGAATTCTCTGTTTTTGGTGTTCTGGAAATTCACAGTGGTGCACCCTTGGAATGGGTCTCTTCATTGTGCTGGGCGCTCTGTGAGCTCTCTTCATCTGCCACCATGTGTCCTTCAGTTGTGGAAATTTTCTCGTGTTTCGTTTGGTTTGGTTTTTGGGTTTTTGTTGTTGGTATTGGTAATTTCTCACCTTAATTATCTCTGTTCTTTCTTTTTGGAATTCCTATTCATTGTGTAAGTAGAGCTTCTAGATCAGCTCTCTGATTTCCTTATTTTCTTTTCCCTGTTGTCCATCCCTTATTTCTGGATTCCTTTTATCCTTTTTTTTTTTTTTTAAGATTTGTTCTTTTGAGATAGAGAGCTAGAGAGAGCGCACACACATGAGTAGGAGGAGGGGCAGAGGGAGAGGGAGAAGCAGACTCCCTGCTGAGCAGGGAGCCCAAGGTGGGGCTCGATCCCAGGACCCTGGGATCATAACCTGAGCTGAAGGCAAACGCTTAACCATCTGAGCCACCCAGACGCCCCTCCTTTTATCTTTTAAAGTGATTTGTTTTATTGATTTTTTTTTTAATTTTAACTATCATTTATTTAGCTTCCAACCATATTTTCCATTGTTCTTATTTGTAGGTGTAGTTTTTTCCTTTTCGGGAGTTTTTTTGGGGTTTTTTTGTTTTGTTTTGTTTTTAAGGCTTCCTGTTCTTGATCTCCAGATACATCTTCTCTGTCAGACACAATATTTTTCATAGTTTTATTTGCTCCCTGAATTTTCTCCTTACTTTCATTTTTCTGTGCATTTGTTGTTTTCATTCTTTCATGTTGAAGACTTTCCTCAAATATCTGGTGGTCCCTGGCTATCCATTCAAACTTTTAGGAGTGAGACACCAAACACTGATTAGAAATGGAGCCTGTTGGTTGATGGGCTTGTCCCTTGATTGAGCTGCAAGCCAACATTTTTATTGAGGAACTGCCAAATATTCCTATCAGTAATGCTTTTCTCTAGGGAGGCTTGGTTTATCCAGGGACCTATGTTCCAGTCTCAGTCTCCCCCCACAGTGGTTGAGACCTGCTTGCCAGGATTCTGGGAGCTGGACAGGGAAAGGGACCAAGGGACCACAGCCATGGAATATACTTTCCCTCATGACCTGCTTTCCAGTCGTTCCCATCTTTTTGCACCTAGTATCCCCTGTCCAGAGCTCTCTAATTCGATTAGTAAACTCCCATCTCCCACAGAAAAATACTGATACTCCACCAGGTTTCCTTATTTCCAACACATACATTATCTGCAGCATCTGCAGAAGCTGATGGTATAGTTTCTGAGCCTTTCCAGACTCGTGGGTCCTCATTTCCACAGCCACTCTTAGGTATCCCTTCCCCACACTACTAAACCAGGTGCCTCTTGTTCACCCATTTCTACATACGTTAGGGTTAGGTAATTGGTGGGGCATAGTTCCCTCAATGGTGGGGTTTTTTTATGCTTTGGAATGATTTCTGAAGAAGCAAGAGGGTGTGGGCAGAAAGATCTCTAAGATGGTATCTTAGAACAAGAAGTCAGATGGCTCACTTTCTATTGCTGGCTTTCTCCGGCTGCTTTTTAGTGCTTAATATCAGTCTGCTTTATATTATAATTAGTTGGGGACATTACTTGCTCCCCACTGGGTTGTAAGGTCTCTGACAGGATTCAGTGAGTCTTGGTCATTTCTATATAATTTACTAGGAACTCCCGTGGTACATTATTATTTAATTGGATCATGACATGTTTTCTGAAGGTGTAAACTTGTTTCCATGTAGTAGGCTGATGAACATTCATGGCCCTCTCTGCTCTACCTGCCAACTATTCTGCAGCAAACCGTGGATTCTCCATTGGGATTGGTGACGTCACACCTGGTCAAGGACTGCTGAAGGCCAAGTACGAGTTGCTGAACGCTGGCTATAAAAAATGTGACGAGTACATCGAAGCCCTGAACACAGGCAAGCTGCAGCAACAGCCTGGCTGCACCGCTGAGGAGACTCTGGAGGTGCGTCTGGCTCTTCGGGTGGGTTAGCCACTTGGTCCGCGTGGGCTTGTGCTGCGAGCCGGAAGAGAAAGTAGCAGAGGGGAGGGAGAAGTCAACACCGTGGCTTTAGCCCCAGCTCAGCTCTGTGCTGCTTGGGTGTGTGCTCGTTTATTTAATGAGGGGCCTTCAGTCAGTTCCATTACATTCCTAGCAGCTTTCATGTTCCTAGGTAGTACAAACATGGCTGTCCGCTCACTCGACCACATGGGGCTGCTCTTGTTCCAGCATTACACTTAGGCCCCTGCTGTAACTGGTACTCCAGTGCTTCTGCCCTATTTCTAGCATCTCTCCAGCAGAGACTGGCAACCACAGCTCTTTAAATGGATGGTCTTTGATGGGTCCCCTGGCTGGCTCAGTCCGTAGAGCATGCGACTCTTGATCTTGGGGTTATAGGTTTGAGCCCCACATTGGGTGTAGAGATTACTTAAACATAAAATCTTTAAAAAATAAAAATCAAAAGATGGTCTTCGAAAGAGACTTGCACACAGAAGAGGGAAAATTCAGAAAAGTCTGAGAGTCACATGCCTATCTGCTGCCCCCATCACCTTTGAAACTAGGTTAGCTGAGAACTGGACCAGCAAGTGTCAGAATCAGAAGGGCCACCAGCCTCTGCGAGCCCTACATTTCTCTCTCAGGCAGCCTGCGTCAGCAGTCTGACTGCACCAGGATTTTGCCTGGCTCTCTCCGGTCTCCGCTGCAGCCCCTGGCTCAGGGCTTTAACTCACCTAAGTGTGCAAGAACGGATAAGCAGTAAGAAATTTTCTGATGGAAGGAATTTTTTGTGAACTAGGAAGAAAGAGTTGTATAGGCACTATTGACCGTTAGCTCATTCTTAATCTCACTGAGTCTTAAGAGAGAGAGAAACAGAGGTTTCTCATTGACTTACCTGGAAAGTTACCTGGGGCTTCTGCAGTACTTGGTTTTCCTGGAACCTGACTCCTCACTGATTCAGCACCCTAAATTGTGAGTTGAGAAAGGATAGCCTGTGGAAGAGCTCAAAGACTAGAATATTCTTAGAGAGTCACCTTATCACACGCTCTTAACTTGTGGAAATTCACCTGTGTACTTGGAAAGTAAAAAACAAGAGGTAAATTTTATAATAGTACAAGCCATTCTCCTTTACTATATACTACATGTTAGGTTATACTTCTTACGTTTAGGCGGGTGTGTATGTATACAGTAACACACAGAGACATATTATGCTGTAGGGCACTCGCTATACACAAAGCCATTCACATTCTACCTTATGGGCCATTTAAGGGATTTAAAAAATAAATAGGGATTTTTCAGGGTTTTGTTACTAATCAGTTTTCTCCCTTAAGCACTGATTTTAGAACCTTGTGGGAGGCGTGGGTCTTCACAGCTAAGGCTCGAAACCCTTAAGTGGAAATCCGACATCTGGCTTAAATTTTTCCAAATTTCATTCGGTGTCAGATCGAACAGTGGTGGTCGGCAGAGCCCCCACGCGCCTCTCTTCCCCCCTGCCAGGCTCTGATCCTGAAGGAGCTGTCTGTGATCCGTGACCACGCAGGCAGTGCCTGTCTCCGGGAGCTGGATAGGAGCAACAGCCCGCTCACCATGGCTCTGTGCGGCTCTAAGGGTGAGCGCACCTCCGGCTGCCACGGGCCCCGTCCTCCGCGGGCTGGCAGGGCTCGCGCCAGGGAATGTCCACATCGCAACTCCAGGCCTTTCATTTCTAAGGGGATAGCTCTTTAAATCACATGTACAGAAAGAGACTTACTTATTTGCATGGTGGTAATTGAACTCCCCTGGAGGAACTTGTGTAGTCCGTGTGGATTTCAGAGCTCAGGGATGCTTCGAGCAAACCTGACCTTATTTTTAAAAAAATACTTTCCGAGCTAATGTATCATTTAATGACGTGGAAAAACACTTTAATTTCATAGTTATTTAGGACCTGAAAGCGTTAGCTTGCATGGTACTGCACTCAGATTCAAAACCTCCCTGCTTCTATTTCTGTAAATTTTTTTAGCAGAATGAAGTCCAGCTTTGCTGCCTTTCCCCCCAGGATTCTCCTTCCTGCCCCTGGTACACATGCATGCCCCCCACTTTCCCATTCCTGTGTCTTTCCTTCCCACTCTTCCGCTTACTGGGGAATTCCTCGTCCCTTTTCATGCCCAAATCATAGTGTCCTGCCACAGTTCAGCCTGGTCACAGACCCACCTTGCAAGTCTTTCCTCCAGCCGCAAAGTGCTCACTCCCTGCTGAGCTCTGCCCGCCCTCCTTCTGCCTTTGTTCTGTTACTGAGGGCTCTAACCTGTACTCTTCTCTCTCTGGCTCTTACTGGCCCTAGACCGGGAGCCTGCTATGTCATAGTCCTGTTTTATCCCACAGATCTGCTCGGACTTCAGTTAATGTTATTTTGGTAAACGAATGTTATATTCCTAACCTGTTTCCCCAGGTTCTTTCATTAACATATCACAGATGATTGCCTGTGTGGGACAGCAGGCCATCAGTGGCTCTCGAGTGCCAGATGGCTTTGAAAACAGGTCCTTGCCTCACTTTGAAAAACACTCAAAGGTAAGTGTAGCGGCTCAGGCAGAGCTTTGAAGGGCGACCAACGGCACAGGAGAGGAACCGGAGCGCATGCTGCCAACTAAGGCATTCCTGGAGGAGGTGTTGTGAGGCCGGGGCTGCTCAGGGTCTTCCCTCATCCCCGACTGAGTCATGGAGGACCTTGTTAGACTCGCAGCTATAAAACTGGATCGACACCCGCTGCTTTGTTTTCTCTCCGAGGAGGAGGATTTCAGGGTCCTATCCAGCTTATGTTCAGTAATCAGAATGTAAGGTTACCTCATGCGTGATCAATCTGTATGCTTATTTTGAGGGCACTGACATCAAAGTGTGGTGATTTTAAAATAGTGATGATAGGAACCACACTAAAACAGCCAGGAAATTCCAGACTCTTCTCTCGAGTTCTCAAACTCAGTTTTTTGGTTTGTTTGTTTGTTTTTTAGAGAGAGCAAGCCTGTGCTCATGCATGTGAGCAGGGGGAGAGGGGCAGAAGGAGAAAGAGACTCTTAAGCAGGCTCCACACCCAGCACAGAGCCTGATGCGGGGCTCAGTCTCACAACCCTGAGACCATAACCTGAACCAAGATCATGACCTGAGCCAAAATCAAGAGGCAGACACTTAACCAACTGAGCCACCCAGGCGCCCCTCAAACTCAGTTTTTAAATGACCCCTGGGTTTCACTGGCCTTGTGGTTTGAGCGCTAATATAAGCAGAGATAGACAAAGATAGACAAATCTGTGCTGGGCTTTTTCTGGAACTCAGGGGCAGACAACTATTAAATCTAGTTGAGGAACTTAGAGTAGATTTGGTTATTCAAATTCTGGATTTGGAGTCAGCTTTAATGGGAACAAGCTGGACTTGTTCCTGCCACTGGCACTAGCACCAGCCCTGACTGGGACCTCACCCTTGCTTTTCTCCGGGAAGGATAGTTTATGCCAAGTTATTCCTCCTTTAGGAAAGGCCTTGTATGGGACGCCTGGGTGGCTCAGTTGGTTGGACGTCTGCCTTCGGCTCAGGTCATGATCCCAGGGTCCTGGGATCGAGTCCCACATCGGGCTCCCTGCTCGGCGGGGAGCCTGCTTCACCCTCTGCCTGCAGCTCCCCTTGCTTGTGCTCTCTCTCTCTGTCAAATAAATAAATTTTAAAAATCTTTTTTAAAAAAAAGGAAAGGGCGGGCGCCTGGGTGGCTCAGTTGGTTAAGCGACTGCCTTCGGCTCAGGTCATGATCCCGGAGTCCCGGGATCGAGTCTCGCATCGGGCTCCCTGCTCGGCAGGGAGCCTGCTTCTCCCTCTGACCCTCCCCCCTCTCATGTGCTCTCTCTCTCTCTCATTCTCTCTCTCTCAAATAAATAAATAAAATCTTTAAAAAAAAAAAAAGGAAAGAGCTCATAAAGTCTGCCCCTTCATGAGCATGCACTGACCAGGTATTTATAGTCTAAAGGTGGGGCATTTTGTGATTTGAATGGGTTTTGAAGTTGTGGACCTTGAAGGTCTTTTTGTTTGATTCTTCTTTTTTCCCCCACCTCTCTTCAGCTCCCAGCTGCCAAAGGCTTTGTGGCTAATAGCTTTTATTCCGGTTTGACACCAACCGAGTTTTTCTTCCACACAATGGCTGGCCGGGAAGGTCTCGTCGACACAGCCGTAAAGACCGCTGAAACAGGGTACATGCAGGTAATTCAAAGAAATGTAGGCCATTTGCGGCTGAGCAGGACAGGATTCTGAGGATTTTGACTGCTGAGTGTTTACGTATTTTGTACATGAGCTGTGATATATCGGGTCTTAGTATCTAAAAGGAAAAATTGAGAAATGCAGGTGCCATAGAAACAAACAGACTAAAAAGGTAATGTGTTCACTTCATCCCATGTGTCTCGAGGGACTCAGATCAGGCTAGAACCTCACACACCAAAGCTCTGCTGAGAACATGGACTGGAAGTGCATCCGGGGACACATCATGGACCTCACTGGGCCTCTGTGTCCTAATACATGAAGATGGGGATGATAGTACCTCCCGATCGCTGAGAGGACTCTCCTTCTCATGTGGCAACTATTTGTGTAACCCGTTATTAGGATAGTTTTAACTGACGCCAAGAATTTACTCCAGTGCCGGCAGAGGGCTTGGCCACTTGGAGGGATGGCTCTTTCTCCATTGTTTGCACAGTTCCAGGATGATGGGCTCAGGGGGCCAGAAGGAAACTAGAGGGTTTCCCAATACCTATGCTTCTCCAACCGCCATAAAAATACCCCAAATGGCAGAGGAGCGAGAACACATCCCGACTTTGTTCTTCCATAAGACCACAAGCAAAGGATTTCTTTTCATTCTCCAATTATCATTTTCTACCCTGTCCTCTATGATCTGTGTTTGTTTTTACATTTTTTCAATGTTTTTGTCTCCTTACAACACCAGATAAAGTTAAATCTCCCGGTTGCTGGGCCCTGCCCTCGCTGTGGCTTTGTGTCCCCTCTCTCCCCGCTGCGGACCCCAGTTTGAGAAGCACAGCCCTCTGCAGGCTGGGAGAGCAGGACTGATAAAGCAGGGATGTGGCTGAGGGAGCCAGAACAAACAAGGCTGATGCGGGTGGGAGTGGACTCGAGTCAGCAGCCAGCTATGTCCATAAGCTCGCCTGTATGTGTGTATCCTCATCGATACTTCCCTTTTCGTTATCTTTGGATGGGAAATTGCCCTTCAGTTTTGGAGTGTGTTGCTTTTGTCAGAAACCCAACAGACTGTGAAATGCTTTTCACCACTCTTGCCAGAATGTCTTTTGACTTTATTTTTTTGACTTTACCTTTTTGAAGTAGAGAGTATGACTTTCCCAGAGCAGTGTGTTAACCTAGAACAAATTTGTTCTGGCATGAGGGATTTTTGTTTTGAAGTTGCCTGGAGGAAGATTTCGCTCTCTCTAATTCACTGAGCCACCGTCACATTGCTGGCTGGAGTGTTCTGCTGGTGGAAGGTTCTCCCTAAGCAGATCTGAGGAATGGCTGCTGCCCGCTGGTTCAGACAGAATGCTGTCCCTGTTCTCTCTTCCCCCCCCCCCCCCCCCCCCCCCCCCCGTGTCCCAGAAGAGGGCCTGCACCTGATCCTCTGTAATTCATATTGAAGCCCACAGGGGTCCTGGATTAGGTTGTGTTTAGAAATGCAAAGCTGTTGCATTAATTTGTACCTTAGGGAGAAAGATAGGGAAGGCAAAACAGCCTAGGAAAACAGCTAGTGTTTGCAGAGTCCTTTGGGGGTGATGGGGCTTAAATTGAATGTACTCAGAAATACACTAGAGTGCGTGAGGTTGGAGCATATTCTAAATCCCCCTGCACAGGCTCTCGGGCCACTTTTGAGCTTGTTCTGAGTGTCAGGGGACTCTTTTTAAAAGAGACGTCTAATACAATGTTTTAACTGATGAAAGTACAGTAACCTTGAAACTTAGTGTTGCAGATCCCATCCTCTGCGCATGTGACTAGTCCTCTCAAAGCAACTGAGCCTTTGTTTCCTCTCCTTCTCTTCCTTTAGAGGAGGCTCGTCAAGTCCCTTGAAGATCTGTGCTCACAGTATGACCTGACAGTCCGAAGCTCTACGGGTGATATTATCCAGTTCATTTATGGGGGAGATGGCCTAGATCCTGCAGCTATGGAGGGAAAAGATGAACCGTTAGAGTTCAAAAGAGTTCTGGACAACATCAAAGTAAGATTTAGCATTATATCTGGGGTTAGAGTGTTTCTGAGAATGTGTGTTTGGAATGGAGGTGTCCTCTGGAGTTTCACACACAGTTAATGCCTCAGTTATTTCTACCCAGCTACTGGGTTAGTATGTTTCTTCTTGTGTACTCTGCATAATTTTCCCAAATAGTAAGGGAAAGTAATTTTTCGGTTTCAGAGTCTAGCATTGGTAGTGATTGCACAGAAGAGGACTTTGGGTTTCTCTGTGTCTGGTGAAGCGTATTACTGGCCAGTGTTAAAAGTCATGGGTGTTGAGAAGTAAGCTTTAAACTTTTACGAAAGCACATACTTTAACTGGGGGTATAATTTAGAACAACTTTTTCAGAAGGTAGTTTGACAATACTGATCTGAATTTAAATGTGGGTGTCTTTTGACCCAGTAGTTCCACTTAGAGAAATTCACCTTACAGAAATGACCTAAATGTGCCAAGAGTGGTTTTTCAACGTCATTTATAATAAAGGCAAATCATCAGTGACGTATAAATCAAATACATAGTGATTTGCCCATATATTAGGGTAATATGCAGCCATTAAAACTTTGGGGAAATCCCATGAGCTTGGGGATGGGATTTTCACTCCTGAAATGTTTGGGTTTTTTTAAAACAACAATATATATTTTTAATACAAATCTGGGGTAGGGTGAAGGTTGTAATGGAACAATACCCATGGAACGGTACCCACTCTTCCACAAGTCTTCGTGTGGGGTGGAGTGGGGTTATCCTGTTTTCACCTTCATACTAAAGGTAGACTGTAAAATACGTTTTGAAAGAAAAATAATCACAGGTTGGTAAAAGCTCGAGCTGAGAAAAGTCATTTTGTCTCCTATAAATTCTTTCACTTAAAACTGCCCCCCACCCTTGGTCGCCCCCATACACATCACACTATCTCCTTTTGATACTCGAGGCAGTCTTCCCGTGTCAGAGCGAGCCTGCGCTAAGTAAAAATGAACTGGTCCTGACCACTGAGTCGATCATGAAGAAGACTGAGTTCCTCTGCTGCCAGGACAGCTTCCTGCAGGTGAGTTCTGCTGGGGGGGTGCACCCAGCTTGGCCATCACCAAGAGATGGTTGCTGCGTTCCAGGAGGTGGATTTTATAAGCAAGGGGGGAGGGCATTAAGAGTGTTTCTTTGTTAAAAATTTCAGGACTGGCTCAGGCAAAATTTCACCAGCCACATGAAGAATTTATATCATGTCCTTAGTGTATGTCTCTCACTCGAGTGCCTCCCTCCTAGAAAAATAGTTCCTTTAGAGAACTGATTTTTTTTTTTTTTTAAGATTTTATTTATTTATTTGACAGAGAGAGACACAGTGAGAGAGGGAACACAAGCAGGTGGAGTGGGGGAGGCAGAAGCAGGCTTCCCGCCGAGCAGGGAGCCCGATGCAGGGCTCGATTCCAGGACCCTCGGGTCATGACCTGAGCCAGCCAGGTACCCAAGAACTGATTTTTTTTTTTAACCTTGTCCCTATCAACCCCTTTACCCACTTCCCCATCTTAAGGGACCAGCTCTTCCCACAGTCATTGTGAATCGTAGTGATTTTTTTTCTAGTGGTGGTGTTTTATTTTTTTTTTTTAAAGATTTTATTTGTAAGTAATCTCTATACCAAGGCAGGGCTCGAACCCCTAACCCGGAGATGAAGAGTCGCCTGCTCTTCCGACTGAGCCAGCCAGGCACCTGTAGTGGTGGTGGTTTAAATTGCTCTTCCTGTTGCGATAGTGTGGATCTGAAGTTCATTGATTAGCCAGCCTTCTTCTTCCAGGGTGCTGTTACCTTGATATCCTCTTAAGGTTTTTTAGTTTGTTGGTTTTTTCTTTTTTTTTTTTTTTTTTAATTTCACTGACCTACTCAGGCATCTCCTTCCTGTTTATAATCATGGTTATGATCAAAAGCAGAGGGATACAGAAACCAGTAAATGATGGTAGCCTCTGTGTACCGATCAGTGACTCAAATTCAGCACAGAATTGTCAGGAATCTTTCCCCTTCAGTCTATCAGAAATGACAGCAGTAAAGCGAAACTTAAATGAGAATGTTTTAGTTAAGGAAGCTCTTGACCTCTTTTCATATGTTGAGGTGTGAAAGGGGAGAAAGAGACTATTCCAGATTTCAATAAGTTTAAAACCCAGAGTACGGTTGGGCTGAGTGCCTTTGTTTTGTTTTGTTTTGTTTTTATAAATTTTGTTATTCTTTTAACATATTAGAATTGTGATTTGGTTTTTATACATGATTATATTCACTTACTTACTTTTTTGTTTATTCTCAAAGACCTTAACTGAGACAGGCTATGAGAAATATAATGAGGTACCGCACTGAGCATGCTGGGAATGCTGAGCATAAGGGGTGAAGTCTGCAGCAGTCCGGCTGTTGGCCCTCCCCGGACTCGACAGGCTTCTGCCCCACTTCTGGCACACGTGGCTTCCCTGTTCATCACTCTGGCTCCTTTCTTGCCTTTGATAGGGTTTAACGGGTGCCCCCCTGACCCGCAGTATGTGCTTCCTCGGGGAGTACTCCTTCTAGCCCTCAATACGTGTCACACACCCCAGAGATGACTAAATGTGTCCATGCCCTCCAGGGGCTCAGAATCTAATGAACTCCAGTCCAAAATCCACTGGCCAGAACAGCTGTGTCTGAGCCCCTCATGTGTTCTCCAGCCCAGCCTGTGCCAGAGCTGAGGCCCGCCGGGGGCCGCTGCCCATGCTCGCGGATGTGCTGTGGAGTGAGTGTGAGAACGTAACTGCTGGTTAGCCGTGTGATTAATTGCCTGCCAGTTGCCATGTTGTGAGTTCCTCTTAGTATGCATGGGTTGGTTCAGCTGAACTCTTAGTAGCTTATTTGAGTTTTCATTTCTACAAAGTGAGCTTTTTTTTTTTTTTTGACCTAACTTTCAGAAAATCCACCCTCACTTTTGTGTAAGGAAAACCGTTCCTTTCAGCAAAGCCACGGGAAGCATGTCCATTTGGGTGGTAGCTGAAAGACCTCACTTCCAGTGCCCTAAGCTGGGGGGTGGTTTTCAGTGCATGTCCTTCTCTCCGCGCGGGCCGAGTTCCTCAGATGAAAGTCCCCTGGGTCTGCTCAGCCCTGGGCTCTCGCTGTGCTTCCGCTGTGCCGGCAGTGGGGCGGCCTTGGACACCTGGCAGTCAGCAGCTCGCCCTGAAGAACACAACCACAGCTAGACGAGGAGGCTGGGGGAGGGACCAGCAGTGCGGAAGAGGTTCTCTGCTCTGAGTGACGCAGAGAGGGCAGGAGGTGGCAGCGGCTGTGAGTGCCCTTGCTGAGCAGAGCCGCGCCAGGAGAGACTGTCCCACTGCCCCCTGCAGTCTGGGCCCCACCTCTGGCTTGCAGTCACTGACTGCCTAAACGTGTGGTCTCCCTCTCACAATCAGTAAGTAAACCGGGAGAGCGTCTCTTTAAGAAGAGTTTCTTGAAAACGTTTCAGCTCTTATAAATCAATAAAAGTCCTTTCTGTGTAGAATGATGACGGAAGGGCACAGTACCCCTCAGGAGTTGGCCCACAAGAGCAGTCGTCACAAGAAAGCTACGGTCATAAACGGGATAGAGTATGATAGACCTCAAGCAGCCCCTTGGTTAGCTGGGCCCTGAGGAGACAGAAATCACCAGTGGGCAAGGATGACATCGCAGAACCCCTTGCCCCAAGAACAGTCTTCAGAGAAAGCATCTGACTTCAAGGAGAGTCCTGTCTCCTTGGCTCAACCCGTGACCTCCCTGAGCCCCGCAGGGCCCTCCACTCTAGAGTGATAGGGTTAATGCCATGCCACCTCACAGGGAGGTCTCACCCCGCCAGGCAGCAGCTGACTGGGGACAGCCTATGAGCCTTGGAGCATTTGTATATAATAAGCTAAGGCCATTTAAAATAAGAACATTAAGTATTAGCGGTTTTTGCTTTCAGAGAACGTAGTAACTAGAAATTGCTAGGTGGTCTCTGGGAGGCTAAAGAGACTTATTATTGCAAGGTTAAGGTAGAAGTGGGCTCTAGGAAGTTTTAAACTCTCTGTGGGTGCCAATAGGGTTTTATTTTTGTAAGAGTAAGCTGCTGGTTCCATCTGCTTTAAAATATTTGTTTCAGACAAAACAGACATTTTTAGCTATGTGATACAGACGGAGGAGACTTTGGGTAGGGGGCATGTAGGCCTTCTCCTTGGGGTCCCTCAGCCTGCCTTGGAATGGAGAAACAGGACTTCCCTCCACCCTTGGGCTGTCCGCGTGTGTGGATCTGCCCTCAGCCAGCCACACAGAGCAGCTGGGTGCCTGCACTGACCTTTAGGAGTGACAGTTAAGCTCACTGCCACTGTTATTTGTCCAAAGTCAGTGAGGGAAATTATATTTCCAGGAGGGCTGCTGAGGCGAAGTGTAGTCTAGCCACTCTCGCCACATTCTCACAAACACCCTGGATCACACTAGAGCGGCTGATCGCCAGCCCCCAGGCCTGTGTCACAGCAGCCTCTGAAGGATTTTGTCACTGCGTGGCATGTGCCATCCACTCACTGGGAAGTGCTCTTAGAGTCGGTCCCACAGCGCTTGACGTCTGAGCCCCGGAAGCAAGGCTTTGATGGACGTAGCTCACTAAAGCCCTGCACCGCCTCCGTAAGTCCTCCTTGAGTGCTGGCCAGTCCTAGTTCTAGATCCTGGCTCCCGGGGTGACCACTGGGCTGGTTTATGTCTGAGATACACCACAAATTTTAAAACAGATAGGTTTTCCACTTTGAGTGATTACCAGAAAATGTGGGTCTGTGGCCTCTATGCCTGCCCTATGCTTCGTCCACATGATGTCCTTGTCACCTTCCTTGCTCCATGTAGTCCCCATCCGGGGCTTAGAGTGCTACTCTGCAATACAGAGGGGACCGCCAGACACTGATGTTTCATTCCCAGCCTGGTTTCCAGGAATCCTTACAAAGTCCTAATTGTTGGGAAGGGCAAGTGAGACGGGGGGGATGGGGTGATGCAGAGGTGAGGGTCAGAGAGAGAAAGAGAAGCAGGGATTTGGGCACGTCTTCTTTGAAATGAAGGCAAGCCGAAACCGTGTGTTTGAAATGTATATAGTGTCTTCAAAGCTGTGCTTTAGCTGGTACTTCAGTTGATCATAACTTCAGAAGAAAGCCTCAAACATAAGCCCGTTTAGAGACTCCGAGTTTATAAATGGTACAGTTCTAGCTGTTTGGAGCTGGGTGGATGCAGGCAACACGTATGCCCGGAGAGCAGAGGAGATGGCGGCGGCGGCGGGCTCCCCTGCTGTGGCCCCTGCTGGCTGGGTGGGGGGCTGCGTGGGACAGGGTGGAGAGGGGCGTCACTAGCCATCGCAAAACTTGGCGGGCTCATCGCACTACCTAAGTTTGTAAAACACGCTGCCGTCCAGATCCCCAAGAAATACACAACTGACGTTTGCCGTGTATTCTCTTAGGAAATAAAAAATTTCGTCCAGGGCGTTTCTGAGAAGATCAAGAAGACCAGAGATAAATACGGCATCAACGACAACGGCACAACAGAGGTAGCGCCCGGCTTCCCCGCGGGCTCGGGTGCCCCCGACCGGCTCGGGTCCCGCAGCCTGACCCGCACACTCGGTTTCTGTCGCTGCAGCCGCGTGTGTTGTACCAGTTGGACCGGATCACCCCCACCCAAATCGAAAAGTTCCTGGAGACCTGTAGGGACAAGTACATGAGGTACGGATGCTGATTTTCCCGGACTGCCAGGCAGGCGTGTGCGGTTCCCGTCCTTCCCGTTTCCCCACTGGAGCGAGCTCCTGCACCAGCTCCGCCTATCCACTGCCGGCGTTCGAGCAGGTGCTGTCCCCTCTTCTCTTAGGCGCTCCGGTGGGGAGGCAGGCTGGATGTTCCAAGATGTGGAAATAATTGCGAAGACGTTTCTGAGTGTCTTCCCCCGCCCCATGGAGTAGCTCCCAGCATGCTTGGCAGGTGCCGGCCGCACTGTCCGCCGTCAGCACCGTTTGTTAGCAGAGCTCTTGGCGCTTCTCCAGGCAGTCGATGTGTGGGCCCAGTCACTGCACTCGGGCCACAAGTAGCCACACAGTGTTCACTTCCATCATCCGGCCCCTGTGACTGCTGCACCCCCACCCTACCCCCGTCTGCACCTCTGGCTGATCCGTGCCAGGTTCTTCCTGTCACAAGCACAGCCTGGCTCATAGCATATTCCCTCCTGACCCTGGTGACACCTGCATTTTTTTTCTGTTGAAAGGAGATAACCAGCAGCCTCTTCCCAATAGTTTTCTGGACTATTCTTCCATACCCTTACCTTCTAGGGCGCAGATGGAGCCAGGATCTGCGGTGGGCGCACTGTGTGCTCAGAGCATTGGGGAGCCAGGCACCCAGATGACCCTGAAGACTTTCCACTTTGCAGGCGTGGCCTCCATGAACATCACCCTGGGTGTGCCCCGGATCAAAGAGATCATCAATGCTTCCAAGGCCATCAGGTGCCTGCCCCCATCTCCCATCTGTTCTCATGCTGCCTGTCGTGTTACTCTCTTACCACGTGTGGTTCTGTGCTGGGCAGTATTGTCAACTCAGGCGGCATGCTTGTCTTCTGCAGATCCGGGTTTTTAAAAAACCCACTTGAGAAAAAATAAGTGGAAACTGGGTACAGTCACAAGTGAGGCAGTGGTTCTTTGTGGCCACAAGTCACGTTAAAGAGAGAAACATGAAGAATGACTGGAAAGACTGTATCCATGTGTCTGTGTAGATTTAAACTTCAGATGTTGTTATTCCCAACTGAAGCCTGACTGGTGAGTCTGTCACTTGAGCTGTGGCCACAGTCTGTGACTCCCTAGTGGTTTCGTGGTAGGGTTTGTAGGTCATCTGAGACCGGAAAAGATAGAAATGCATGACAGTGCGTTCTGTGACCTCATCATGATTCACCTGTGATCTGAATCCACCAAAGTGATGACAGATAGCATCCAGGGAGGGAACACGGCGCTTGGTTCTAGAGCAGCAGCGGTGGGCATCCAGGGTGGCAGGAGCTCTGCTGCCATCTCCAGCTGGCCCGGTCTCTCCCGGGAGTGCGTGGTCAGGGGACGCCAGCCAGGACAGGGAGGGCAGAAGCCGGTAGCAAGTGATTGGCAGGTGTCCTGGCGAGGGGGTGATGCGGGCGGGGTGGCGGGGTGGAGGACGCTCTACTACACGAGCATGGAGGGTCAGTACAGAATCGAAACAACTATACCTGCCGGGACCAGAGAGGAAGAGATAGGCCCACTTGGTCAGGAGGAACGTTCCAAAAATCGTCTCATTCACTGATGGTTGCCACATGAGCTCTAAAAATAGAAAGTCTGGATAAGAATGTCTGTGAAGCCCCCAGCGAGTGCTTCGGAAATTGCAGTGGCCTTTAGCCCTGAGATCCCAGTAGCGCCTGGGCCTCACGCAGCAGCGGCCTCCCAGCGGGCTCTTTGCCGGGCTGTAACCGCCACCCCCGCCTTCTCTCAGCACCCCGATCATCACGGCCCAGCTGGATAAGGACGACGACGCGGACTACGCTCGCCTCGTGAAGGGCAGAATTGAGAAGACCCTCCTGGGAGAGGTAAGATGTCCGTCTTGGTGACGAGAGCTCTAGAGCAGCAGTGTGGCGAGCCCGCGCCTAAGCCCCAGCTGTGCTGGGCCTGCTGGCTGTGCGGCCACGCTGTCCTGTGTCCCCCAAAACGAGCAGTGCTACACGGTGGCTGTGTAACGTTCTGGTCTGCTGACACGACAGATTTCCGAGTATATTGAAGAAGTGTTTCTTCCGGATGACTGCTTTATCCTCGTCAAGCTCTCCCTGGAACGGATCAGACTTCTGAGACTGGAAGTAAGTCCCGTCATTAAATGTGGGCAGGAGGTCATCCTCTGTGAGTCCCAAGATGGGCGCCGATAGCCTGGGGCAGGAGCTAGTAAGCCAGGCACGAGAAGCACTGAGGAGGCTTTGTTGGGTTTCTGTTCTGTGAGGGTCTCTACTGTACCTTCCCATTCTCTCTCTCTGAACCTGAACCTGACACACACGTTCCCCTCTAAAGACACACAGGAAATTTGTTGAAACTGTGTGAGGCCACGGTGGCCGGTTGCTGTGACACAGTATTAGAGGGTCTGGCAGGAGCGTGGGGCCACCTGTGTCTTACTCACCTGTGGGCCCCCAGCTCAGCACCTGGCTGGCTCGGCGAATGTTTTTGTCTGGGTGGACTAGTCTGGCTTAGTATTACTGGTGTTCACAGACAGGTAAGGAGCGAGAGATTGCAGCCTTTCTCACAGAGCAGCTGAGGCACAGGTGCAAACTGAGTAACTTTCTGGCACCTTCCTCTTCCTCTCAGGCAGTTAACACCCATCCTGGCCACATTGTGTCTCAGCCCGCTCTCTCAGGTACCAAGTCCGTGTTGCCCATAGACTGTCATTCCAGAACTGAGCAGCCAGGTCTCCAGGCTGGGGGCTTCTCTAGCCTAGCTCTGGCCGCCTGCCTTATGGCTCTTGTACCAGAAGGACTGGGTTGCATCAAGGCCTGTGGCCCGTGAGCAGTTGTGGTGAGGTCAGGTAAAGGGGAGGCTTCACTGACACACAGACTGTCCTGCTCTCCAGGCCCCCGCCTCCTGGAACCACCTCGAAGCCTGTGTGTGTTGTTGTGAATGGAGCATGCATTTTCAGTGGGGGCAGAAGTTGGTTGGGGGTGAGGGGAGGTTGTGAAGAAAGTCTCCTCTGTTTATAAGTAAAGTAGATATACTTATGCGGTACATAAGCAAATACACAGTATGTCTCATGTTAAAATTTTACATGGTGAGGAATGAGATTAAGGGAAAAAATGAGGCTTGTCAGGGGGCAGTGATGGAAAAAGGCCAAGAAACACTGGAATCGAAGCCTCCATCCCTGTCAGTAATGTCCTGGGTGCGTGGCCCATGTCTGGCCACCTTGCAGGTGAACGCTGAGACGGTGCGCTATTCCATCTGCATGTCCAAGCTCCGTGTGAAGCCTGGCGATGTGGCCGTTCACGGCGAGGCTGTGGTGTGTGTCACCCCCAGAGAGAACAGCAAGAGCTCCATGTACTATGTGCTGCAGTTCCTGAAAGAGGATCTCCCCAAGGTGAGACAAAAGTCCCCTCTTAGGGCCCCCACCCAGCCTAATGCCTGGAGATTTGTAGAGGGAGAGACCACGTTTACGTCTAGCCCGAATACCCAGGTGTCAGGCAGCCTAAGGACTGTGTCACTACAGAGACTGAGGAGGGTGTCCGTTTCTTCTTTTTTGCCACATCCTTCTGGAATCAGTCAGGTTTTTCTCATCTCTGCCCTGCCACACCAACTCTGCCTGTTAGATTCCTGTCTGTTCTCTGGTAAAACTGATGTAGACTGTGGTACGGCCCCCTGACCTTGTGCTTTCTCCCTAACCCCAACAGCACACGGGCACTTTTAGGTTTGGTATGTTCCCGATAAACCCCGCTGAGAAACGGGGCTGGTCAAGGTGACAACCCAGGCATGACGTTCCCAGTTCTCACAGCCTGTGTGGTTTCTGAGGCTACTGGGGTGGGGGTGGGGTTGCCGTAGGCACCGCCGGGCCTTGAGCCTTCTGTGTCTCTTGAGTCCAGGTGGTGGTGCAGGGCATCCCGGAGGTTTCCAGAGCTGTCATCCACATCGACGAGCAGAGCGGAAAGGAGAAGTACAAGCTTCTGGTGGAGGGTGATAACCTGCGAGCGGTCATGGCCACCCACGGTGTGAAGGGCACCCGCACCACCTCCAATAACACCTATGAGGTACCGTTCACACCCAGGGTCACCTTACGGTTGTCCCGGCACACTTCTCTGACACTGCCGTTTGCTGTGGGTCTACACGAGAGACTGCCCAGCAGCCCGTTTCTGGCGGAGGGCCCAGAGTGTGCCGGGAAGCTGCCAGGCAGAGGAGGACGTGGGGAGGACTTGGGCCCGCAGGCTGGAAGAGGCTGCTTCCACTCATCCTGGCTCTCTGTAGGTGGAGAAAACTCTGGGCATCGAAGCTGCCCGGACAACGATCATCAATGAAATCCAGTACACGATGGTCAACCACGGCATGAGCATCGATAGGAGGCACGTGATGCTGCTCTCCGACCTGATGACCTACAAGGTTCGAGGGTAGAGCGCCGTGCACCGGGCCGTCTCGCAGCTGCCTGGAGAACACCCAGCTATAACAACCGCCACGGAAAGAAAATAGGATGTCACCATTGCTCAAAGACCAAGCATGGGGTTGGGCTGGGTGTTGTGGTAAAACTCCAGTATGAAACTTGCAACCTCATGGCAGGAGGTGGGGGCGTTACTATTTTTGTCCTTATTAGAAATGTTATCCTAGAGCAAAACCGGCCATTGCCAAAAGCCCAGGGATTTCCATGGAAAACCGAGGTGTTTATTTCCTTTTCAACCCATTCCTCATTTCTGTAGCCATTTCCAGGTAAAGGATAAGTTACCGTGATCTGAAGGGGAGGCTAGGTGGGAAATGAGGTTGGTCGTTTTCTTTCTCTTTTCGCACAAAACCTATCCATTCCCTGTAGTGGTACGCATGCGCTGTAGCAGTGCCCTAAGGTTTTCCCGGTGCCTCCCCATAGGAACCTGTCCCTGATGACAGAGCGGTCAGAACTGGGTGGGGAAATGACCCGTTTCCTCCGCCCCTCAGGAGAGGCTGTCACTTTTAAGTCTTGCCTCCTGATCTTAGTCTCTCTGCACGTATCGTGTTACACAGTTGCAGTGAGTAGTGGACATGCGGGTTTTATCCTGTTCCATTTAACTTTATGAGTATTTTCCATGTCGCATAGTTATTATAAATATACTTTTTTAATGATGGTGCGGTGTGTGCTTGAATGAAAGCACCTAAATTTACTTAACTCTTTCCCTACTGTGAGGCTTTTAAATTATTTGAGTTTGGAATTCTTTGAGCCCTAATAAACATCTTCAGAAGTACGCTCTCTTTTAACAGTTAGGTTTTTAATTCTAGCTCTCAGTTCGTGACTCTTTCTTCCAACAGCATGTGGTTGGGAATGGAAGGATCCATGTTGTCAGTGACTGGTAGCCCCAGGGGGACGCCAGTGGGACAGATCACTGTTAGGGTCCTGGCCGGACCCGAGACTGGCTTGAACAGCTGCTTGGCCGATTTGGGCTGACTCTTGAGGGGAGGCAGGGGGTGTGGTTTGCTCTGGGCTTCTGTAAGTGGTGTGAGTGCCACCCTGACTCCTCCTCCCCCGCTGCAGGGTGAAGTCCTGGGCATCACAAGGTTTGGCCTGGCCAAGATGAAGGAGAGTGTGCTGATGCTGGCCTCCTTTGAGAAAACAGCTGACCATCTCTTCGACGCGGCCTACTTTGGGCAGAAGGACTCCGTGTGTGGTAGGTTTGGTGTTTCTAGGACCTTCACCAGTGGGCCTTTGTGGTTTGTAGCTGAGACCGTGACTAGGGCTTCCCAGGAGGTGAGGAAACTGAAGTAGGAATAAAGTCACAGATCACAGAATTGGAAATGATTGATCTTTGATCTCCAAAGCCTGGCTGTGGCCCCCTGCATTCCCCCCTCATCTGTTAGAAGGCTTCTCTGTCAGTACAGACAGCTTCTTGGGGCCAAGAAGAAAAGATGAACCCTGGGCATCAAGGAATTTTTCTAGACCTTGGAGATGCAGTCAGCCAGTCTGATCCTGCCCCCGCTGGGTGGGTGGTGCCAGGGCTGACAGGAGGGAGCAGCGTCCAGTGGCCCTGCTGTCCTGACCCCTGGGGAAGGATTGCTGCCGGGCCCAGCACCTTGCATGCACTGACCGCAGCACATCTGTAAGGGACAAGTATGAAACCCTCGCACAGGTAGAACGGGGAACAGCTTGCTGGCTGACGAGTCTTGCCCACCGGCACCTCCCCACACCACACAGCGCATCTCTGATGGCGGCCTGGGAGAGAAGAGCTGTGGCGAGGCCGTCACAACAGGGCCTGCGGCCCGGCTGGCTCTTCCCTGGCTCCCGCACCGAGTGCCCGCGGTCCTCTGTCCCTTCTCATGCAAGACCCTGCAGGCCCGAGGTGGCAGTCTGCAGGGGGCTCGGTAGCCAGGCCAAGGTCATATACACATCTGGCCCAAGCAGATTCCCAGCCTGGCCGCCGTCCCCACCACCAGAGCTCTGCTTCCTAGCGGCCATTTCCTGTCTCGTCTCCCAGTCTTACGTGGATTTGCCAAACGTGCTGGTCAGGTGGGGCCCCGGTCAGGGCATATGCCTCTGCTCTGTTCCTAGAATTGACTTTTTCTCTTTGCAAAAGGGACACAGGTTGCAGATAGAGGAAAAGAGAAATTACTACATCATCTTTAAGATGATGAAGGGTCAGAGGAAAGAAAAAGGGAGCAGAGATTGGGACAGGAGAACAGGACACGGCCAAGGCAAAAGTAAGAGTGAGTGTGCTTGACAGTGGAACTAACGTCCAGTCCAGCACCTGCGGGCCTGCCACCGGGATGCTGGGCCCTGCAGCCCCACACGCTGCCGCCTGTGTCCACCACTGACCTCCTCGGGGCCTGCATGGTCACCCCGCCCCCACTGCAAAATCTTCCCCTTCCTCGTTCTTTACAGTGTTGTTAACTCAGTGTCAGCCCTCAGTCCGTGTTGGTCTTTAGCTTGGTGGTTTGTCTCTCTGGTCTCCTGATAGGACAAAGCCCAGAATATGGTAGGCAAGCACTCGCTTGTTATGGAACCAGAAGTCTGATCCAAAGCTGGAGTGGAGTTCGGAGAAAGAATCTGCTCCATTGCCTTCTTCCTGTCTCTGCAGGGGCCTTGCCTTCCATGTGTCTCCCATTAGGGCTGTGGGTTTCCAAGGCACAGGCGTACTGTTAAGCCTGACCCAGCCTTGACTCCTGAGTGTAGGGAACCAGTTTCTACTGCTGTTTCCAAGGGCACTGGTCTCTAACGTCAGCCAGTTTGCTTTTCTTCCAGGGCCCCAGTTGAGGAAACACTGGGTGGCAAAGTCGGGTTCCCCGGGCATCATTCAGTGTCCCTGCTGGCTGCATTTAGTGCTCTGGAAGGCGGCCTGCGGGGTAGCTGTGACTCACTGCGAGGAGAGCTGCGGGACGGGGAGCCTACCGTGTTGAAAAGCTGTCTGATGCCCTGTCTGGTTGGTTTCAGGGGTGTCTGAATGCATCATCATGGGGATCCCTATGAACATTGGAACTGGACTCTTCAAGCTGCTGCACAAGGCCGACAGGGACCCAAGCCCTCCCAGGAGACCCCTGATCTTCGACACGAACGAATTCCACATCCCCCTTGTCACATAGTCCAGGGAGGAGGGGACCATTCCTGACCTCAGCTCCTTGTCCCATCTGGAAAGAGGTCGAGACTGGCAGCTGACCCAGAGAGCTTGTGCTCCCTGGGACAGGCCTTGATATCCCCACCGTGCCGTCACGCCAAGAAGGCCTCCATGTCCCCAGGAGCAGCTCGCCCGGGACCCTGATCACACCACAGTGCCTGGTCGGGAGAACTGAGGTTTGTCTGTTTAAAGCCCTAGCCTCACCAGGAGGACCCGGTCAGGCATCTTTGCTCATTCTCACCTCACCCTTCCAACCACTGGCTTTCAGGAGTGTCACACCATGACCCAGAGCCAGCTGTAAGCCCCAAGACCAAGGCCTGTTCCTGGTTTTTCTGTTACTCAGTCATGCTCGAATCTCTTCATGTGGTCTACTCATGTAAATATTATCACTGTTATTTATTTGTTCAGTTTGAAGAACTTGGAGTTGTTATTATTTTGGCTTTACTTTTGAAATTTGAAAGCAAGAGGCTATAGAAACCAAGAAAGCCAGCATTGCGCTGTCACCAGAAAAAACTGGTTAAGCAGATGGGACCGCCTAGGATTTGTAACTAAGCTAAAACTGTCATGAGGCCCAAGCTGCTCTGAAACATCTTTTACAGACACCTCTGACCACCCCACTGTTTTTGTCTACCTCTGACCTCCATGGGGGGAGCCTGCTGTGTGACAAGAGCAGGACCCATTGCTCACGGCCAATAGAAGCCTTGCTGGAGTTCAGAGCCCGCGGCGGTGGAGACGGTCAGTGTGCATGGAGGTGATGGGTGAGGCTGGTCCAGGCCCCTGCACTGCCTGGGTGGTGACCACACCCCCCGAGGTATCCATGTGGCTGCCCTGCCTCCACATCCGCCGAGCAAGCAGGGCAGGTGCAGAGCTACGGCCTAAAAAGTGCCCTGGGGGCAGAGGTGGGGTAGGGCCTTTCTGGGTAGAGGCAGGGGTGGAAGGGCCACTCAGACAGGAAGGGAGGAGGCCCACGTGGGGGTAGAGAGGGAACAGAGGTGGCGGCATGCCCATTGGGCAGTAGCAGGCGAATGGAAGAGTAAATCGGTAATGATCGAAAGCACCTATCAGGCCGGCAGGAGACCAGCAGCGTGTCCCAGGAAGACCCCACAAGGCTTGTGATGGGGGTTTGTGCAACAGAGGAAAGAAATGTACACAGCTTATCTTAGCAGAAGGGTTTCACTGCCAGAGACCGTGATTCTTTGTACTGGATTTGCTCCGTTAAGATTGGGCCAGGATCACAGATAAGAAATGATATGGCTGCCACTCTCTACTCCCTCTGGAGAATGTTCCGTGAAGCCTGCCCTGCCCTTCCCTCTCTGGAGCCAAGTCCCACTGCTCTGGCTCTTCCTTCCTCGCCAGGGGGCCTTGGAAAACCAAGGCTGCTTAGTTGGGAATGAGATGATCGTGAAAGTGCGGCTTTGACCCTACCTTCTGGCTCCATGCATCTGGGAAGCTCTACTTCTGAAGCGACATTGCTAATTTTTCTCATATCCAGCCCTTGCAAGAAAACAGCCGCCCAAACTGAAGAGATGTGAGTTTGTTGTTGAGGGAGAAGATGGTTTGGCTGATTAAAGAGGTGGGTGTGGAGGGGGGAAAAAAAAGGTAGACCAGGCACTTACAGAGTTCAGGTTGTAGTGCAAAGAGTCACATTTTGCTTCTTGGGACATTCTCTAGCTGATTTCCGAAGTTCTGAGTTAATGCTGCTAAGATACTTCATGTAACCATCTGCTGTGGGGTCTGTGTTAGAATGAATGCTTTCTCTCCCATCCTGATGGGATTCCTGAATTCAGAATTCTTGACCTGAACCTTTGGCCATTCTCTGGTTTAAAATTCTGTTAAAATTAATTTGGCCCTGGGGTCTCCCTGCACCCATGAGGTTGATTCAGGAAGTTCTCTTAAGGTGAAAAAGTATCATTTTTCATGTTCCATATGCCCCCCCATGCCCACCCCTGTATCTCTGAACTAAGCTAGCCTGGTTCGCAACACAGATTAAGCCTGTTACAGGGGCGCCACCTGAAACCTCACCACGGGCCTCGCTTCCCTTGTACAACCTGCGAAGAGCCACAGTACCACGGCTGCCTTCCTGAAAACCTGCCTGGGGAATAAGCCTCGGGCCTGCTCAGATCCAGAACTACGAGAGAAGGCACACGAGGCCTGTGGGAGGAAGGACTCCCAGAGTGGGAGGGAGCACCGACGCCCGCCTTCCTCTGTGTGCCGCGTACCTGAACTGGGGAGGGGAGCCGGTGTGCGCCACTGTGAGTAATAAAGACGGCCCCACCGGGAGCCTCATCCTGCTTGAGCAAGGCCTCTGGGTGCCGACAAGCCCGGGTGAGAGGTGTGTGATCGTGCTGCACGCAGGCAGGGGGCGGGGGTCGATCAGCGTGTGGCATTGCGGGGACAGAAGGGTTACATGAAGCCGTGCACCCCCCAGTCCGAGACCATGTGTCCTGCGGGCGAGTGTCCTCGTAGCCCTGCAGCCCTGCCGGGACCCCAGGCAGAGGCGGCATTGCCTGGCGAGCCCTGCTCTGTGCTCCCTGCCGTGTGTGTGCCGTAGGTGGGTGTGCAAATGGGATGGGATGATCTGCTGCCCTGGTGCTGGGCTTTATGCAAGCACAGAACTCAGACACCAGATCCAGAGAGCAATGTCTTCTCAAGAGTAAGCTCCATAGAAGGTTGGTATTTTACTCTGGCCCTGTTGAGGAAGAAATAAGAAAAATACATTTTAACAGTCTCATCCATTAACAAATTCATATTTATTCTGACTAGTCATGTGTCCAGTCCTTTGCCCTTTTTACGTCTTTTGTACAAGGGGATTAAAATAGCAATTGACTCAGTGACAGCCCCCTGCTTGTTCAGCGCTTTGGGGGTGGGAGAGACATTCTGGAGTCTCCCAGTGTCTGTGTCGGAGTCAAATCATGGTGCTGTGTCTCTGTTTCAGGGTTTATCCATGTGTATTCACATTGATTCATGTCTGACTGACACCATATGATGATTATTTTTCTTGAATTTTGGCTGCCTCTAGACAGAACTCTACTTTTTTAGGAAAACTGAAATAAGGAAAACTTACTCTACATATAACGGTAGCAGTTCATCCCTGTGGGTTGTGAAAAAGGGTGACTGGGATACGAATGGGCTCCAACTCCTACAATAATTAATGTCCCCTGCCACAAGCCCACCCCTCGGGTGCTGGAGGTCAGCAGTGAGCTCTGCGCCCCTCCCCGCCCCTGTCGTGTAGCTAATTCAAGCCCAGTGGGACACAATGCAGTATCTCCTGGAAGTACCACCTAGCTGGGATCAAGTGCCTCGCCTAACTGTTCAGAAGTTTGTTCAGCGAATAAAGGCCTACTATGTTCTAGGTACTAAAAGAGCAGCAGTAAATAAAACTGGTAAATCAGATACCAGTACATCTAAAAACAAGTCTTCAGCAGAAGGGACAGAGCCAAGAGGTGGTAGATCAAGCCTGCAAATATGTGTCCAGCACTGTCTAGGGTCCCAACTACAGAACTGAGGGTCTTGGGGCGTCTGGCACCTCCAGCTCACTGGAACAAAGAGAACGGTCTCTCGGCCAGCACAGCCCCTGGTTCCAGCCCCTCTGCAGTGCCCTTCACACCGCTGATTGGCCTCCATCCCTTGGACTGGGGTTCTAGAGGGTGGGCCCTGAGCAGAGGACACAAGGCTGCAGTCACCGGGAAAGGAGGCTCCCATACTTACCCCACGTTCCATGTACAGTGTTCATAAGCAGACATTTAAGTCCATGAAGGTTTGCTAAGCTTCTGCTCTGTGCCAGGTGGTGTGCGGGCCTCAGAGAAAATCCCTGCATGCATGGGGCTTACCATCTGGTCAGGGTCAGCTTGTGGTTAAGAGCCTGGTTTCTATGAACAGACTATCAGAATGCAAATCCCAATTTCCGCTTTCTGTCTGGTGACCTTAAACTAATGATTTAACCTCTCTGCCTCATTTATAAGGTAGGAATGCTATTTAGTGGTACCTGACTCCTAGGGTCGTTGTGAAGTTTCAGTGTGATTTTGCATATAAGATCCAAGTACGGTGTCTGGCACAAAGGACACACTCATTAAGTGTGTTTGCAGTTATGGTGACCATCAGTACTTTTACTAGAAAACATGGTCTGAGAATTCAGTACCAAAACCCAAACTCGGGGCGCCTGGGTGGCTCAGTTGTTAGGCGTCTGCCTTTGGTTCAGGTCATGATCCCAGCATCCTTGGGTCGAGCCCCATATCGGGCTCCCTGCTCAGCGGGAAGCCTGCTTCTCCTCCCACTCCCCCTTCTTGTGTTCCCTCTCTCACTGTCTCTTTGTCAAATAAATAAAATCTTAAAACAAAAACAAAAACACCAAACTCTGGATCCTTTTTTTTTTAAGAGCACCTGCAAGCCTGTTCATAGTGGGGGGAGGGGCAGAGGGAGAGAGAATCTTAGACAGGCTCCACAGTCAGCATGGACCAGGGCTCGATCTCACAACCCTGAGATCATGACCTAAGCCGAAATCAAGAGTCAGCCACTTAACTGACTGAGCCACTCAAGCGCCCATAACTCTGACCCTTTTAAGTCACCCAGATGGAGCTGTCCTTTGTGGCCTTGGGGATCCAGCCTCTCGATTCACAGCTTCTGCCCCACAGTCTGTTTGATCATTGGATCTGGGAAGTATTTCATGCCAGGGAGTAAAAGCTAGGGAAGAGGACTGACATTTGGCAGTCACATGGCTGAGGGCTTAAACATTTTAATTGGGGCCATAAAGTAAATGTGACTTCATTGTAAGAGTTGTGAGCAGTAGCTCAGAGTTTTTGTAGAGGTGGATATGGATGTATTTATATAGATTTATTGTATAACAGGATATCCCAGGAGTTGGGACATTTTTCTCTTTAAAAAAGAGGTTACCATTTAAAAGTCTTCCACACACTGGCAATAATGGTTGCCTCTGGCAATAGAAACAGTGACTGAAGGACAGAGGTGTTTTTCACACTATGCTCTGTTGTTGTGCCTTTCTAATTTCGTTCCTGCTGAAGGTATTGCCAATAACTGATGGTAAAGAAATCAAGTCATCTTGAAGCAGGCTTCGTTCTCGGCGAGTGCTCAAGTGCTCCGTTCCGAGAGGAGTGGTCTCTTCCAGTTACACAGAGCCAGGAAGCGCCAGAGATGCAGGGAGGACATTGTTCCTGGGGTAAGGTGACCACGAAATCTCTCGTGGCCACGGCCTTACAGCTCCAAGATTCTCTCTTCTGACGTAAGACCGTAGTGGGCATCACAGGGCTGAAATGGCACTTTCACTGAGCTGTCGGACCCAGGCCCTGCCAGGCCCCCCTCCACCAGCTCTAGGTTCCGGCTCTGTGCAGGGCCGCCTCATGGTGCAGGGCCGCCGCTCCATTTCCCAGCATGCTAGCCAGAAGACAAGGAGAAAGAGAGGTATAGCACTTTCCTTTAAGGAAAGTTCCTGAAAGTTGAGCGATGTTTCTATTTCCATCCCTTCAGCCAGAACTAACCGAACCAGGCTCCAAGGGAAGCTGGCAGATGGCACTGGGGTTCTGGGCAGCCATGGGCCTAGCTAAAAGTGGGGGCTTCTGTTAGCAAAGCAAACAGGAGGAACAGGAAGTGGGAAACAATCGTGTGTCTGCCTCTGGTGTATCAGGACCTTTGGGGGTTTCTTTTTGTTCATTCGTTGTTGTTTTGATTGACAAAGGTCTGAATATCCCCCTGAGCCCCTCAGAAGAAACGGACTGAAACCCTGACCCCTTCATTCCCACTTTTCTTTTGCCTTTCTGGCAAATCTATGCCTGAGGCTTTTTGTTTTGGCTTGGCGGTGGTTTTTTTGCTTTTGTTTGTTTTTTTGGCTTGGTTTTTTGTTTTTTAATAAACTGACATTTAAATTACACATTCCCTTAGCAGGCTGTTCAAAATGTTTCTGGGCTGGTGGAAAATGTAACTGTCAAACACACATTCAATAAATAACCCTGACTATTGCTCCCCTACCACCAGGTGCTGGGTATAAGGTATGGACAAAATTTCCATGGCCCCTTGTGGATTTAATTTTTGTCACAGAACTGTCCACGAGAAATGTGTGTAACTGTAAATGTTCTAGCATCCGTACCTTAAAAAAAAAAGGTAAGCTTAATGTCAACAATATATTTTTTTAATTCACATCCAAAATACCATTTCAGCATGTAACCAGTATAAAAATTATGAATGAGATGTTTTACATGCTTCACACTGAGGTTTCAAAATCCAGTGTATGTTTTATACTTCACAGCGCATCTCAAGGTCCACGTGCCCAATAGCCACGTGTGGCTTGTGGCTCTCATTGAGATTGGAAAGCACGGGTTAGTGAAAGAGCGTGTAACCAGTATGCAATTACACCCTGTGCTAAGAGCCAAGGAAGAACTATAATGATGAAGAACGTAGAGGCCTGCTTTGGTCGGTGGTCTGAGCAGGCCTCAGAGGAGGGGGCTCTGGGCAGAGGGAATGGAGTGCAGAGAGCCCCTGTGGAAGGGGAGCCTGGCCCCTTTGAGGGCTGAGGGCCACCAGCAGGAGACCAATCACATCCTCTCTAGAAACTTCAAATCGGCATCTGAGCTAAGCCCAGGCCCAGGGAGTGTCCCAGCCTCCTGTGGCCTCCCGAGGCTGGCCACTCGCCTCGCCCACTCACGGTCCAAGGGAACTTTCCGGTGAACACCTCTTGGGGCTTGAACTGTCCAGAAGGCATTTTCTGTGGCCTCTTCACCTGGCCCCAAATCCCAGGCCTGTTAGAAGATGGTGGAGCCACACTCTGAAAAGGCCGAGGGAGCCTAATGGAGAAAGATGGAGTCTCACGGCCTCCAGCAGCTTTTTGGCACAGAGTACACTCTGGTACGTTGTATGCCTGGGGCCTGTGCTTCCAAAGTCCTTTCCTAGAGAGGGGATTTGTGTCTCAGGGGAAGCTGGGGTGAGAAGAATCCTGCCCCTGTAGCTTTCAGTGGCTCCAGCACCAAAGAACAGGCCTGAGCAATTCACCACCTGCAAGTCGGGGAGCATATCATAGCCACCCAAGGTTGCCGTTAGGAATAACATTAACCAGACTCCCCAGGTAGACTACACCAGCCTCCCAGGTGCTCAAGCCATTTATTCAGCCTTCAGTTAGAGCGCTCAGGGTACGTGTGGATTCAGGGAGTTGCTGAAAAATCCGCTGGTCGGGCAGAAATGGTCCTGGGCTGAGCTAGCCAAGACTCAAGTGGTCGCTCCGCCCAGCGTCAGCAGTGTTGTCTGCTCTCACTCCCAATTTCCCAGTCTGTAAACCACCGTCGGACCTGTGTTTTTTGGGGTTTTTTTAAGATTTTTATTTATTTCAAAGAGAGAGAGCACAACTGGGGACATAGGCAGAGGGAGAGAGGGAGAAGCAGACTCCCCACCGAGCAGGGAGCCCAATGCGGGGCTCGATCCCAGGATCCTGAGATCAGGACCGGAGCCAAAGGCAGACCCTTAACCGACTGAGCCACCCAGGCGCTCCTGGCCTGTGTATTTTAATTATTTTTCGGATTGTGTCTCCCCCAGTAGAATGTAAGCTCCGTGAGGATGGGTAGTTCAGTTTGTTTCAATCACTGCTGTATCCTCAAGGCTTAGCACAGTGCCTGGCGTGTAGTGGGTTGAATAAATGAAGAACTGGATTCAATCTTGAATTCCTTCTTAGTATTTAGCATCAAGGAGTGGGCCCTTGGAGTCCAGCAGCCCGGATTTAAGTCCCTGCTCAGTCACTTTCTGCCTTTCTCAAAGCTGCCCCTCGTCCTGAGCCCACGGTCCTGTTAAGGGTGCCCTCCTTGCTGCAGAGTCTCTATTCAAAAGGACAAAAGAACAGCACAAGCCTGACTGCTTGTCCTCGCCCCACTTCCCCAAAGGCTCAGTTCCACCTTTGCCCAGAGAGGGCCTCTCGCAGCACTAGAACCAGGGGCAACGGGGCGGATGAGCGCCTCCCCGCCGCCTCCCATTCCTGCCTGCAGGCCTGGGCCCCAACCCTGGCCCCAAACCTAAGAGTCGGAGCCAAACACTTCCAGCATATACCACCATGGGTGATTTATTTAAGTGTCTCCAAATAATCACTTAAGTGTCACCATGGCAACCTGAAGAGTTGCCATGGAGATTGGAGCAGGAAACGTCCCCATGGAGACCCCTGGGAGACTCTCTAGGAAATCATTACCAGGTGGATGGGGCTTGGGAAGGGGGAACTGGACAAATGAGGGAGCCCCACGGTTCTCTGGACCGGCAGGGGGAGGGGGTGAAAGGGCAGGGCGGGAAAGACCAGCCTGGAAAGGCAGGCAAGTTAATGATCTCCACCAAGTCTAGGGTCCCGTGTGATAAATAACTTCTACAGCCTGCACAGAATCTATCCAAAGGGAAAAACGGGAAACTAGAAATAGTGGTGGCCCCCAAGAAGGGGGTGAAGGAGAGAGACTTAGTTTTCATGTATGCTCCTTCGTGCACTGTCGGATTTTCTTTTATCATAGGTATGTAAGTATCACATATTAAAATTATTTACAGGGCATTTACTACATTAAATACTTGTATCCTCAAAACGACTCCATAAGGTAGATATTAACCCACTACACAGATGGGGAAACTTGATTCAGAAAGTGGCCCTCGGTAGCCCAGACAAGTGGGAATCAAACCCAGGGCTCTCCCTCGCCCCCGAGCAAGTCGGAGTCCTCTGATCTGCCACTGGCACGCTGAGCACCATTAGGTGACTATCACACCTCTGGACCTCAGTTTCCTCCCCTGTAAGAGTTTGGCACCTTGGACTGAGTGAAAGCCAAAGTCCCGCTAGCTCTGTAACTGGGGCTCTTCAGAGGGATCTCTGAGCACTAGCATCACCCCCCTTCTCTTCCTCTTCCTTTCCCTCATCCATTCTCCCAATCCCCAACCACAGCAGCACGTCTTCGGGGTTCTAAAGGAAACACTTCACTCAGAGCATCAAACCAGAGAAGTCTTTGAAGAAGCTCAAGATTCTGTCTGAGCAGAGGAGCAGGGTGTGGCCCAGGAGAGGGAAAGTGAGCCACCAGGGAAATCCAAACCAAAGCCATGACACGTCCCCACACGCATTAGGATGGCTATCATGAAAAAAGAAAGGCGGGGGGGCGGTACCTGGGTGGCTCAGTCGTTAAGCGTCTGCCTTTGGCTCAGGTCATGATCTCAGGGTCCTGGGATCAAGTCCCACATCGGGCTCCCTGCTCGGCAAGAAGCCTGCTTCTCCCTCTCCCATTCCCCTTGCTTGTGTTCCTGCTCTCGCTCTCTCTCTCTCTGTCAAATAAATAAATCTTAAAAAAAAAAAAAAAAAAGAAAGGCGGGGGGTGCTCCTGTGTGGCTCAGTAGGTTGGACATCTGCCTTCAACTCGGGTCATGATCTCAGGGTTCTGGGATCAAGCCCCGTGTTGGGCTCTCTGCTCAGTGAGGAGTCTGCTTCTCTTTCTCCCTCTGCCCCTCCCCACCCTGCTCGTGCTCACTCTCTCTCTCTCTCAAATAAATAAAATCTTTAAAAAAAAAAAAAAAGAACAAGGACAAGTGTTTGCAAAGATGCTGAAAAATTGGAACCTTTCTACACTGCTGGTGGGGAAATTGAAAGTTTCATACACCAGCTATAAAATGGTTCAGCTGTGCCCTAGCTGGGGCTGCTACAACCAAATCACATTCACTGGGTGGTTTGAACCAACAGACATTTACTTCTCACAGTCTGGACACTGGGAAGTCCAAGATCAAAGTGCCCATGTGCAGATAGCCACCACTTTGCCATATCCTCACATGCTAGAGAGAAGAAACTCTGGGGTCTCTTCCTCTTCTCATAATGGTGCTAATCCCATCATGGGGCTCCACCCTCATGACCTCATCTAAACCTAAGTACCTCCCAAAGGCCTCCCCTCCTAATAGCATCACACTGGGGGTTATGGCTTCAACATACGAACTTAGTGGGCAGGGGCACAAACATTCAGTCCATAACGTACCTCTAGAAAACAGTCTGGCCATTGCCCAAGAGGTTAAACATAGAGTTACCACATGGCCCAGCAATTCTATGCCTAGGTAGATCCCCAAGAGAGTTCAAAATAGCTATTAATATAGGGCACCTGGGTGGCTCAGTCGGTTAAGTGTCTGCCGTCAGCTCAGGTCATGATCCCAGGGTCCTGGGATCGAGTTCCGCATCGGGCTCCCATCTCAGCGGGGAGTCAGCTTCTCCCTCTGCTCCCCCGCCAAATAAATAAATAAAATCTTTAAGAAAAAAATAGCCCTTGGGGTGCCTGGGTGGCTCAGTCGTTAAGCGTCTGCGTTCGGCTCAGGTCATGATCACAGGGTCCTGGGATCGAGCCCCGCATCGGGCTCCCTGCTCCGTGGGAAGCCTGCTTCTCCCTCTCCCTCTCCCCCTGCTTGTGTTGTCTCTCTCTGTCAAATAAATAAATAAAATCTTTAAAAAAAAAAAAAAGGCATTGACACATGCTACAGTGTGGATGATCCTTGAAAACGTCATGCTAAGTGAAAGAAGCCCCTCACCAAGGACCGCGCAAAACCACATATTAAATGATTGCACCTACATGAAACGTCCAGAACAGGGGGATCTATGAAGTTAGGAAGTAGGTTCGTGGTTGCCTGGGGCCGGGGGTGGGGTGGGAAGATTGGGTGGTGACTGCCAGTGGGGATGGGATTTCTTTGGGGGTGATGGAAATGTCCTCAAATTGTGGGATATGCTTGACTCTGAGTGTTCTAAAAGCCACTAAGTTGTATACCTTAAGTGAGTGCATTGCATGCTGTGTGGGTAATAGCTCAGTAAAGCTGTTTAAACGAGAGAGCAAGAGGGCAAGTACTAACCCAAGGTCGCACAACCGGTAGCGTCTGCTCTCCGGTCCCAGCCCCCCACCAG